TTTTAGAAGTTATTTTAAAATCAACGTGAAAAGTCAACAATTTTGATAATAGCCATTAAAACTTCATCACCGCACAGATTTCAAGTGCCAATTAAAAATATTAGCCATCAAATACACAAGATGTATATTATATTAGGGTAAATGAAGTTTTATGTTCCCAACTTTCCCAAATTTGGTCCACTTGACATGAAATGCCCCCTCCCGCCCCCAGCTATTAATTCCAGAGCAAAATCAGGCTTATGAAGTTATAAAAACTGGCCACAATATTGTTGTAACGGGACATCATCGTGTTGTTGCTGTCTGTCTGTCTATTTGTGCATACAAACAAAAAATTGCGGACATAAAGCAGAGTGACTAGAGTGGCACTACACATCGATTTTTTTACACCTATTTTAAAATTTTTAAATTCATTTATCAATTAAAACCAGCGGCTGCCAGGCAGGATACGCCCACATTTTCGAGAGATGGATAGAAAACAAGATAAAACAAAAGTGATTTTTCCTACAATCAAGGGCCATAATTCAGGAAATTACAATTCGATATGCGCAAATATCGAAAGGAACCAAGATCTTTGGGTTATATAAACTTACATTTCAAGTATCAACAAAATCGGATAAAAATTGTGACCTCTATAGGGTCCACAACCTTGATATACCATATTTTTACGCTATTTGAGAACGAAGGGCAGCCATTTTATCTGTCAGTTTTGGGCCGATTTTCACGAAATTCAAACTCAGTCGACCTTAGGGTGTAACGGTGATGATTTTTTTTAAATCGGATAAAAATTATGACCGTAATAAGGTCCGCAAGCTAAAAACGTGATTTTTCGTACAATCAGGGGCCATAATTCAGGAAGTTACGATCCAATATGCGCGAATATTGAAAGGGACCAAGATCTTTTGGGTTATAAACTTACATTTCAAGTTTCAACAAAATCGGATAAAAAATTGTGACATCTATAGGCTCCACAACCTTGATATACCATATTTTTACGCTATTTAAGAACGAAGGGCGGCCATTTTGTCTGTCAGTTTTTGGCCGATTTTCACGAAATTCAAGCTCAGCAGTCCTTAGGGAGTAGCGGTGATAAATTAACACGTTTTTTTTAAATCGAGTAAAAATTATGACCTCTATAGGGTCCACAAGCCAAAAAACGTATTTTTGCGTACAATCAGGGGCCATAATTCAGGAAGTTACGGTCCGATATGCACGAATATCGAAAGGAACCAAGATCTTTGGGTTATAAACTTACATTTCAAGTTTCAACAAAATCGGATAAAAAATTGTGACATCTATAGGCTCCACAACCTTGATATACCATATTTTTACGCTATTTAAGAACGAAGGGCGGCCATTTTGTCTGTCAGTTTTTGGCCGATTTTCACGAAATTCAAGCTCAGCAGTCCTTAGGGTGTAACGGTGATATAATAATACGTTTTTTTTTTTAAATCGGATAAAAATTATGACCTCTATAGGGTCCACAAGCTAAAAGCGCGATTTTTCGTACAATCAGGGGCCATAATTCAGTAAGTTACGGTCCGATTTGCGCGAATATCGAAAGGAACCAAGATCTTTGGGTTATAAACTTACATTTCAAGTTTCAACGAAATCGGATAAAAATTGTGACCTCTATAGGCTCCACAACCTTGATATACCATATTTTTACGCTATTTGAGAACGAAGGGCGGCCATTTTGTCTGTCAGTTTTGGGCCGATTTTCACGAAATTCGAACTCAGTCGTCATTAGGGTGTAACAGTGATATAATAATACGTTTTTTTTTAAAACCGGATCAAAATTATGACCTCTATAGAGTCCACAAGCTAAAAACGCGATTTTTCGTACAATCAGGGGCCATAATTCAGGAAGTTACGGTCCGATAAGCCCGAATATCGAAAGGAACCAAGATCTTTAGGTTATAAACCTACATTTCAAGTTTCAACAAAATCGGATAAAAATTGTGACCTCTATAGGGTCCACAAGCTAAAAACGTGATTTTTCGTACAAACAGGGGCCATAATCCATGAAGTTTCGATCCGATACATGCCAATATCGAAAGCAGCCGAGATCTCTTGGAGATAAACCTATATTTCAAGTTTCGTCAAAATCGGATAAGAATTGTGACCTCTAGAGTGTCCACAAACAAATTGTGAACTGACGGACGGATGGACAGACAGACAGACGGGCGTCTGGACAGAAAGGGACGACGGCATAATACGTCCACATGAAAATGTGATTAAAAACAAAGTCATGGGTATCACAAAACCATCTTTTATAGTATCTAACGTTTCGTAAGTCTAAAAACCTACTTCTTCAGAGAATACAAGCTACACAAATGATACAATTGCAGTATAGACTTAAAAAAAATTCATATTAAGGCTTATTGTTTAAATTGCCATAGTTCTAAAGTTATATATTGTATAACTTGTGAGTTTTGTAAGAAACAGTATGTTGGCCAAACTATCAGCCCCCTTTAGTACCAGACTTAATAGTCATAGAAGCAATATTAAATTGAAAAAGATTGGATGTTTTTAATCACTCCTACTACTGGTGTCACCGCATCAAGTTTATTATGACTTAGATCCCATCTTAGTTTATGTTATTCAAATGATTTTGGATTCCTCTCTCTAGTCTTTATATATTTGGATTCACATGAAAATGTGGGCGTATAAAAATATTTCAGAGTAAAATCGAACCAGCGACTGCCAGGCAGGGTACGCCCACATTCTGCAAGAGATGGATAGAAGAACCAGCTAAAAACAAAAACGATTTTTTGTACAATCAGGGGCCATAATCCAGAAATGTCGACCGAGGGGAGCCTTTTCTCTCTCTCTCCTTAAAATTGAAAATCGTTCTCCTTTAAAAAGTCATGGGGGGATTTATTATCATTTATGAATCCAGGAATGACCCCCTTACATGCAGTTATTGGTCTTCAGAACCATTTCCCATACACACAACTAATCACTCTCCTTAATATCAGATCACTCTTATTGAAACTGGAAGAGTTTTTTTAGGGGAGCGATCTTTTCAATTTGTTGATTAAGGAGAGCTTTTTTCGGCTCTCCTCTAAAATACAAACAACAACAACTGCTTTATCTAATCTCCCATAATGTATCTTTAAGTTATATTTCCTAATTCAGGGTACATTCTTCTATCAAAATGCCACTGAAGTGGAACTTGCACCTTCCATGTTGAATAAACCAATTTTGGGTGGTACTATGGGTGGCTCCTCCTACCATATCCACCACTGGCCAACTTAAGAATTGGGTTTCTGGGGTCTCTTAAACCAGCCATACACCACTAGCATCCCAAACCTTCCATGTTGAACAAAACCCACCTAGCCCCCAGACTAATACTTTTATTGGAAATAACTACCCTATGTATCTTTAAAGCTCCATCAGCCAATTTTCTCCATTTATTAATTCATTCTAAGAAGCAATTATTTCTGTTGATTGTGCCCATTATTCAGGACATACTCCAAATTACTGACCTCCCCCCCCCCCCCATTCCCCCCGACTGGAAAATCCTGGCTCTGCCACAGCTAGATTTTATGATTAGTTATCTTCTTTTGTCACAACTTTCTTTTTCATTTGCTAATACTTTTGATGTGAATTGGTTTGAAATGGGGTTGTATCAACATTTTGTTTAGTCTGTCTGCCAGCAAACAAACCTAGTAGGCCAATAATTAAAACATGATTGCTATCAGGTGAGGCAATCGTCATTAAAGTTTGTTACGACTGCTTCGGGAACACAGGTTGTCAAATGTGTCAGATACAACTTATGTTGTCTGCTAGCATGTATGTCATGTGATCTTGCATCCTCGGTTACCCAGTGTACTCATTCGGTTCTACTCCATAGGGTTTCCATGATTTCAAATTATCTGCCCTGGCCTAAAATGTAGCTACAGTCTACGAACCAATTAGAAAACAGTTTACAAACCAATCGTTTCGCCTTTGTTTTTATAAGGGTAGATAACCATATTCATGTCCATTTACTGAATGATTTATGTAAATAATGTATATATTTATAATTTATTTACAGTATATTTAATTGTATTATCAAAATCTGTAGTATGTGTTGTTGATTTCAAATATGTATAACATCTATATGTTTGACTTTTGTTATTATTATTACTATTCGTTCTTTGTCTGAAATATGTCATTCTGTTATGTTTATTATTATTGAACTTATACATGGCAATTTCATTCTCAATAACTTGTCTACGATTCTAAATAAAACTAATGACCCTACATTATTATATGAACGTCTGGTCTTCATTAACATAATTGGTTGTTAATAATTACGCATTTAGAATAGGCCAACTCCTAACCTTGTCCGATGAGAGTTACTTATTGGTCAATAAAAATAGCACAATCATCAAGGGCGGATAACTTGAAAATGTGTCTCCCCCATTGATTAACCCAGGGTATAGTGGAGTAGAACGGAATGAGTACACTGGGTAACCGAGGATGGTGATCTTGTAGAGTTGATGGGAAATCTCCCTACGTGCAAGATATCTTGTGTATTAAGTGGACAGATGTAGATTTGTATAGAGTAGATGTTATGTGGTGTTTTACTGTGTAATGATGTACAATATATTGATATTAGCTTACTAACGTTGGTGGCACGAGCACTTACATAGGTCAGTCAAATCCCGTGATACAAAAATCATGAGAGAACTGTAACACTTTAGTTTTATATTTATAGTACCAGAACATTCCAGATACTAAAAATTATACTAGTCTGATGATCTTCTATTGGTAATTAGTTACAAAACTGGATAAAGATTCTGTAGGTCACTGGGCTACAGGGGTTTAGTTGTACATTTGGTAATGTGATCACCCCAAGACCTCAACCATACTGGTCAGATTTACTATATAATGAGACACTGCATCTAACTGGTGTAACATGACCTTGCAAGACCTCCTTATAAAATATGTCTTATCATTTCTATTTAAGAGAAATAAGCTGATAATTAAAATGTAAAAAAGATCAATTTTTGGATTATCTAAAATTTATTTAGAGTTGACCTATGTGGGTGTATAAAAATACATGAAACGCTGGCCATTTCACTTTTTAAAGCAATTTTAACCCTTTGAACATGAGTGGTTGTGACATAGTCCACACAATATGCTGGACTGGTTCTCTGGTAACCATCATCAGATCCACTAGCACAAGGTGGAATATTGGAGATAAATCAAGTCAGCATTGTTAATTCTGTAGTCCAGTTTACACATACATATATAACACAACACTATTAAACGCAAGTAGCTACGTGGCTCTTCTTCTTAGAACATATTTGCCTTTCTGTAACTGGGTTAAATATATACGTAATTTAGAATTATCTGAAGTCTTCCTTATCCAAATCTAAAAAAGAAAACAAGGATTGAGTGGGCCATTATTACCTTATCTTATGACTCCAAATATTTTGGAAAAGCAGCAGCAATTTATTTACTAATTCTAATTATTCTGCACATGTACTGCTAATTTATGTCATACAAACAAATATTACATGGTACCATATAATGCCAATACTCTCACATGTACATTCTCAACCTCTGGTATCATGGTTTGCAAATTCATTATTGATCTTCAATTCCCCTTCACTGAGCAAATCAACAAAAAGTAAAAGAAGGTTAGCACTATCTATAGTTGCCAATCAACAGCACAATCTCAAGACTTCCAACATTTTGATGGGACAGTGTGATTAATAATGTATTTGTCTTGATTACTTAGTGTACACATTACACAATCATTCATAATGTCATGACAGACTGGACATTGGTGGGTATTGCTAGGTTAACTGCACAAGTTCTGTTACACAGTGAGGTTGAGAATGTAGTTTTAAATCAATGGGTATGAGAATCACACTCTGAACTCCAGACATCATAAAACAGGGCAATAAAGATAAAAAGATACTACTACTGTGCATCCAATAATTCTCTAATTAGGGCACACCTATTGTTGTATCACGAGAAAAGATTTACAAATTCAAAAACATTGACTGGTTCTTTCATTTTGTTCCTTTTATATCATTCATAATTGCAACATTTTAATGGTATTTCTTTCAGATATTTTTTATGGATTACAGCAAAACAACTTACTTCTTGTGTTCCTATTCCAGTGATAATACCATGGGTTTTTGGTGCATCTTTAGATTCAACAAAAACTGGATGGTTTCTTTGAAACCTGTAAAATTTATTCAGAAAGCTAACTAAAAAAATATCAGATCAACCAAATCCAATACTTAATTTGAACTAGATCCAACAGTTTAGCTTTTTAAAGTAGGAGTTTTAAATCCAATACTTAATTTGAACTAAATCCAACAGTTTAGCTCCTTTAAAATAGTTTAAGCAGCAATAGTAAATGAATGAGAATAACATGACACAATTATATAGAATACAAGTTTCTTAGAAGTTATTTCTGGCCATGTTTCGAAGAGGGTTCTTTTGTTTTTATCAATTCTCTGCTTGATAAAGACAAGAGAACCCTTGTCAAAATGTCGCCAGAAATATGTTTTAGGTAACTTGTATTACTTATAATTGTGTCATGTGTTATTAAAGGGCGTATATGACTCCAAATTTAGGAACCTTGTCGCATATTTTTACTTTTTTCAGTAATGAAACATTTATAATACATTAAAACCTGATTAAGAGTAACAACTCATTAAGTAATTATCAGAAAAACATTAGACTTTGTTTAGTTTTTATAAAGTTCTGCCCAATGCTAACGTTTAGTATACGAAACTTTTAACATCATTGAAAATCAATATACTTGTTCATCTCAATCTGAAGTCAATCGGATGATAACTTTAGCCTCTAGAGCGTCACAAGATTTTTCAAAGTGATCAAGGGCCATAACTCTGGCAGTAATTATCAGAAATCGCTGAAAATCAATATGATTCTTCGTCTCATGACCGTAAACACTGTGTATCAATTTAAAGTCAATTGGATATTAACTTTAGCCTCTAGAGCATCCACAAGAATTTTTGAAGTGATCAAGGGCCATAACTCTGGTAGTAATTATCGAAAATCGCTGAAAATCAACAGGCTTCTTCGTCTCATGACCTTAAACACTGTGTATAAATTTAAAGTCAATCGGATATTAACTTCAGCCTAGAGAGTGTCCACAAGCAATTGTGGACGCCGGGCGGACGGACGACAACAATATACGGGCGTATAAAAATGGTTCTAAAAGCACATATGTAATATGAATAATGTATGTAAAGTGATTTATATTCATGTTCAGTAAAATATGTGAACAGTTCAAATTAAACAGCAGTCATTTACGCCTGATTCTACACATTTTTTAAATTATTAATTTGTCGTTTGTAAGTCAGCCTTTACTAATTAATTCCACATCGTGTTGTCGATTGTTTTTATTTGGTCATTACAAAATGGCACCCGAAACCATAGGGTACAAAACTCGTGTACTGGTTATAAAATGTTGTGTCTTAAATATTAGATATTAGGATCCTATCGTTTCAAGGCAAGATAAAAACATCACTATTGTTTAAAATCGATCAAATTCTAATTCATGTTTTTAATTTCGAATATTATGGAATATATTGAGTAAGAGACTTAGTTCCTTTAACATTTGTATAAAATTTCCATAATAAAAATCAATAATGAGTACTCACCATCTTTTATCATAATAGAGTTTACCATCTTCAATTCTTACATCATTTATATTATCCATTGGAGATGATGATAACATTGATTTTTTTATGGGCTTACCACTGATTTTATTTAAATACTGGATATCATGCATTATTTCATCATCACTCAATATGATATTTAACTGAGGTAGTACTAGTTAAAGAGTCATAATGAAATAGGCATGGCATAGAAGTTTGTTTCCATTCTTCTCAATAGTATAACTTATTCTGGGTGCCATGTTGCCTAATGTTCAAATTCAAGATAAAAACAGTTGCATGTAACAGGTTTAAATTACTTGACACAATAAAGAATAAAATAAGATTTTGAAATCGTCCATTACTCAATACATGACCTTACTTCAAAAATCTAATAATTACATTCCATTACCTGTCACAAAGAAAGTGAAACACAGTGCTTTTTTTATTCGATCAGTGATAACTCAACAAATAAGTAATTTTAAGAGTTCAAATGTGATAGTCTATTACCAAACAAGTAAGAATATAACTGAAACAATGGACTGCAGTCAAATAAAGTTTTACAACCTGTGTGTTTCCAATTAATCTGGCTATTTTCTGAGCTAATATTGGACCTCAGATTTTCCAGAAATATTTTATTGGCAAATGTATACAAGCTTCTCTTCATTAAGAGATATTATAAAGGATATCTGGTGTAGGTTTTCTACGTTTTTCTGGCAGTGGAATTGGTTCATTAGGACGTCTTCTTAACTTTCTTGTCATAACAGGTTTCATATCAATGAAATCTGAAACACAGAAAATCATATTAAAAATATATCACTGATAATCTCATTGCTTGCTTTATGTTCAGTTCTCTTGAGTGTCTCATGGTAACAACTGATTTGCTGTGAACTTGCTTAAAACAATGGTCTTTCATTGTGACAATATTATCTGTACATACTATATTGACTCTATTTCTATTTAGCGAATTTAGTGAAGCAGACTAATCAAGATAAAATAGTCAGTGATATATGTATTGTGTAAACCAACACAAAATTTACCAATCACTAGTATTATGGTTGGGAATATTTAGATTGAATACCACTCAAACCTTCAAACTTGGTGGCTCAGTGGTTAAGGTGCTGGCTCACTAATCTGGACACCTCAGGATCAGAGAGAAAGAGAGAGAAAGATGGGGTTTAACATCCACTCAACATAAACTAGGTCATTTTGGGACTAACATATGGTTCAACTTTATTTCAATAATTCGCTTGCGCGTAGGGGTCTTTAGCAAGTGGGAGGAAACCGGAGGACCTGGAGAAAACCCATGAGGTTGACAGGCGACCCTACTCCTATAACCGGGGAATCAAAACCATGCCAGTTGACTCAATGACAGACCCTATGATACAACACGCACGAGCTAACCATTCGGCCATCCAACCTGTGTAAGGAACATTCACTGTAACCCAGGTATCTTTTAATCTTCTGTATCTTCGTTTAATATCAAATCTTTGTTTAAAAATGTGTAAAAATTGTTTAAAATCACCAAAAATCATCTAATTTGTACATGTGTCCAGTTTAAAGATGACTGAGTAATTTTGATAATGAGTGTCCCAGTTGGTGCAGAAAGGTAGGATGTCAAACCCCAATTTCATTCATTCATTTAAAACTTATAGTCACAATCAATCAGTTATATTAAGACAAAAATGTAGGTTATTGGTCCTGTTATCATGTTATAGTATTAAGAAATGACCCATAGGTATTTAGCTTACCGCCATTTAGATCTAATATTGCCTTTTCACCCTCAACACTCCTCTTTTTTTCTTCTAACTCTGATATCAGATTCTCTTTCAAATCTATCTTTTTATCCTGAAATAATAGTTCCAAGTTGTCTGAAGCATTATATAAAATACTTCTAAAATGTAAACTCTAACCAAAAATTTCCAGTATCTATCTTTTGGCTAATTTATACATGGAAGCCAATTACACTACAGTTTGCTTTTTTGTGAATCCTGACCAATAGAGTTTATAATGAAAGTGACTTGGTCTACAGTGCACTAATACTGCTCTTACCTCAAATTCTTTCTGAACATATTCCTTTTCCTTTATAAATTCCCTCTCAACCATCTTTAACTAAAAAGATGAAAACAATTGTTCAATACATCCTGTATTTCATAAATCAGTTAGTTACACATTTTGAATTGAGTCCATCTTTTGGAGTGAATACAGTGCTGGCTCACTTACTAGGAGGTTGCCAGTTCGATCCCCCATAGCAAACAGCATGGTGTATACCTGTTTTATTAGCCCTGTGAGTCACTAGACTAGGGTCAGTGGGTTAATTTTTCACATAATTTGTTGATCAAAAAAATTGTAAAGAAAACTGTTTTCAAAGAGACAAGTTTCATCAATATTTCATTCTCAATAGGTTTTTAGGTGTTTATACACCATGAAAAATATAAATGGTATTTACTGTGATTTTATGGATAAACTCTTAGAAAAACCTAAATTTATGGCATATAAATTGTTGGTGGGTATATTATCTGGCTGGACAATTCCACTGCCAGTCAGTGAATCTAGTCTGTAAATACTGGAAAATGCAAGAACTCTTCTAATATCAACAAAAAAGGCAAACACAAGAACCTCTGTAACATCAACAATAAGGACAGCATTTCCTAAGTACATGTACCTGCAAGTCTCTCCAGATTTCACTCAGTGCTAATCTTTCTGCATACTGCTGTTCAACTTTCTTGATTCTTTTTGTATATTCTGGTAATTTACCCTCTGCCAACATCTGCAATTGCTTCTTCAGTTGAGCTAATTTATCTTGGTACATTCTAAATAACCAAAAGGGGTATTCACATATCATGTGTGAGTTTTAATATCCAAATTAAATGCCAGGATGAGTAAAAGTGACCTATTTATCTTGTCTGAAAGCTTAAAGATGCATTATGTAATAAATCTGCCCATTGCCGGTTTTTATTTTGGCTTCAAATGTTAAATAAAATATTATTTACACATTTATTCACATGACAAGCCTATGATCCCCTCTATAGACCATCGGATGGCAGAGATGTAAAGGGATTGAAATCATTTAATGATTTAATTTAACCAGTGGCTACCAGGCAGGATACGCCCGCATTTTGCAATAGATGGATAGAGAACAAGCTAAACAAAAAGTGATTTTTCGTACAATCAGGGGCCATAATTCAGGAATTTACGATCCGATATGTGCAAATATCGAAAGGAACCAAGATCTTTGAGTTATAAACTTACATTTCAAGTTTGATCAAAATCAGAAGAAAATTGTCACCTCTAGAGAGTCCACAACCTTGATATATCATATTTTTACGCTATTTGAGTACGAGGGGCAGCGGCAGCCATTTTGTCTGTCAGATTTGGTCTGATTTTTCCGAAATTCGAACTCAACCATCCTTAGGGTGTAACAGTGATATATTCAAACATTTTTTTAAATCGAATAAAATTATGACAGCTATAGGGTCCACGAGCTAAAAACGTGATTTTTCGTACAATCAGGGGCCATAATTCAGGAAGTTACAATCTGATATGCGCGAATATCGAAAGGAATCAAGATCTTTGGGTTATAAATTTATAAATCAGAAGAAAATTGTGACCTCTAGAGGATCACAACATTCATATACCTTATTTTTACGCTATTTGAGTACGAGGGGCGGCCATTTTGTCTGTCAGTTTTGGTCTGATTTTTACGAAATTCGAATTCAACCATCCATACTCATAGGGTAGCGATGATTCAAACGTTTTTTGAAATCATATAAAAATTATAACTGCTATAGGGTCCATGAGCTAAAAATATGATTTTTCTTTCAATCAAGGGCCATAATTCAGGAAGTTACTACAGTCCGATATGCGTGATTTTTTGTACAATCAGGGGCCATAATCCATGAAGTTTCGGTCCAATACATGTCAATATCAAAAGCAACTGAGACCTTTTGGAGATAAACCTATATTTCAAGTTTCGTCAAAATCAGATAAGAATTGTGAGCTGTAGAGTGTCCACAAACAATTGTGGACGGACAAGGGCGACGGCAATATACGTCCACGTGAAAATGTGGGCATATAAAAATGGAGAAGCGAGGCTGACTCTAATTAAAAAGTAACTTTGCTATGATAATAAACGATCTATGCCACATCTTGTTAAAACTTCAATCAATAATAACGTCTCTCAGAATAAAGAAATTTGAATGAAATTTTCAATATTATCAATTTTGAATTATCTATTTGGGAACTATTAGAGCAAGAACACACAGCTCTTTATCTAAATCTTACATAATGCATCTTTAAGCACAAAATATTGAGCCATTAAAAAATGCTAAAACTACTAAACAGGATATGTAACTCATTTATGGAATTTGGTCTCATTTTGTTTTAAGTAATGAGTTATTGGATAAACGCAACAACTCTAATGCAAACCTGTACGCTATGTTATACAGACATTACTTTGAATTTCGCTTTAACCCCACCCAAATATATATTTTGTAAGCCCTATTCAATAGAACATTTACTAATCCATTTTAATTTATCTTACTGTTCTTTTATTTCTGTTCTCTGAAAATTTGTTTCCTGTTTATCTTCAGTCTCACTGGCATCTTCCGTATCTGTTAAAAGAAAAACCCAATATACATGTAAGCTTTACTTAGACTCCATATGGTCAACTCTTCCCATGCCCTGTTGTATGGTATACAAAAAGTTAAAGTAAACATATTTAAAACATATGACTTATAAAAAGATAGGTTGCCAGGCAACGAAACATACGACTACAGCAGCTAAATCGTCCAAGCAGTCAACAAGAGTTGTCACATATTTTTTCTATTAACGGTAATGAAACATTTATAATACACTTAAATCTGATCAAGAGTAACAACTCATTAAATAATTATCAGAAAATCATTAGAATTTGTTTGGCTTTTAGTTCTGCCCCATGCTAACGTTTAGTATACAAAACATTTAATATCATTGATTTAGCTGTTCAAGTTATCAAAATTCATTGAAATTCAATATACTTGTTCGTCTCAAGACCTTAAACTCTGTGTATCAATCTAATGTCAATTGGATGATAACTTTAGCTTCTAGAGCGTCCACAAGATTTTTCAAAGTGATCAAGGACCTTAACTCTGGCAGTAATTATCGGAAATCATTGAAAAGGCATGACCTTAAACACTGTACAAATCGTTGAAATCATGACCGTAAACACTGTATAAATTTAAAGTCAATCGGATATTAACTTTAGCCTTTAGAGCATCCACAAGTTTTTTCAAAGTGATTAAGGGCCATAAGTTGGCATAACTCTGGCAGTAATTATCGGAAATCATTGAAAATTAATAGGCTTCATCATCTCATGACCTTAAACACTGTGTATAAAATTTTCAAAGTGATCAAGAGCCACAACTCTGGAAGTAATTATCGGAAATCGTTGAAAATCAATAGGATTCTACGTCTCATGACCTTAAACACTCTGTATAAATCTAAAGTCAATAGAATATTAAATTTAGCCTCCTGAGCGTCCACAAGATATTTCAAAGTGATCAAGGGTCATAACTCTAGCATTAATTATCAGAAATCACTGAAAATCATTAGACTTCTTCGTCTCATGACCCTAAACACTGTGTATAAATTTAAAGTCAATCAGATATTAACTTTAGCCTCTAGAACGTCCACATGATATTTCAAAGTGATCAAGGATCATAACTCTGACAGTAATTATCGGAAAACGTTGAAAATCAATAGGATTCTTCGTCTCATGATCTTAAACACTGTGTATCAATTTAAGTCAATCAGATATTAAATTTAGCCTCTAGAGCGTCCACAAGCAATTGTGGACGCCATACTGACGACAATATACAACCACATTTAAATAAAAATGCAATTATCACTTTACATAAGAATAACTCAAAGGCCCAGCATTCAATCCAAAGTCTGGAATCAAAGTCAAAGTGTTATTCACTTGTGAAAACCAATCCAATTCCAATACCAGAAGATTAAGATCATCGGTTAACGTCAAAGAGCCATTTATGGAAAATGCAGGCTCAGTCAAAAAAAATCCATTCCGGTTAAATGCACTTGTTTGTTCTCTGTCAGAGTGGACTAACATATTAAGGATCTGAATAGCAGACTGACATATTTAGAGGCATTTTTGTATCAAACACTGGAACTCAAATTGGAATAACAGACTGTAATACTAAGAAACAATTTGAATAATGTACTGAAAGATTTCTGGGCTGTTAACTTAACAGTCTATCAAACACAAGGAATAAGGTAATCTTTTATTATTAAAGAATGATCAGAGTAACAGGCCAACAGATTTATAGGCCATCTACTGAAGGGCTGTAATGGGCTGTAAGATTTAGGTCATTAACTTGTAGGTCTATATCAAACACAGGATCTAACAGGAGATACTAAGGGATATCACCAAAATTGAATGGAATAACAGAAAGACACAGTAAAGCACCCAAACCTAACGAATTATTATTATTATTAAATCAAGTGTCGGTGAGCAAGATCAGTGTGTAGTAAGAAATCTTATAGGCAGGACGATTTACCCAATGCTAATTAAATAAGCTTGCTACATTACATGTACCTCATTATTGTGCAAAACTAACATACATACTATATATATGTATACATGTACATGTAACACTTCCACTATTTAAAAAAAATTGAGTTAATTCGTGGAAAACCTGCAAAAAATGTACAGCAAATGTGATTGTCAATGGCTCGCTGTTCCAGTTATCTCCCTTGATCATCCACTACTTACAAATATTAACCCATACTATTACTACATGTATAAATTAAATCCATTTCTGTAAAATGTTGGCATTTTTTATCGGGATAAACTAATTGATATTGATTGAAGTAATTGAAGAATTCAGTCAGTTTGGGATAATAATGAATTTGTTCATTTGCTCCACATGCACCTTGCAATGATGCGTGGTTATCATTCAACATCCTTCTTTATTAAGCTCACCAGAAAATTTCATTTCTTTAAATTTATTTAAAACAATCTTATAAGACTAAGAGATAACTTATTTTATCCATTGAATATTTAATTGTACAATCGATTATAAGAAACAGGGCCTAATACAACAGCAATTTTATTAGCGAAGTTTTCAGAATTGACAGTTATTGCTCAGTTTTAAAGTATTTCAAGTTGTGAGACAAGAACAAATGATGTCATTGGCAAACAAAAAGAGGAAAATATTTGGCAGGGCAGCAGCATTCCATTTACGCTTATTATTATTACACGGTAGCACGATTTTCCCAAATCCAACATTATTTCAACTCATACCACAATAATATATATCAATATTTGATAATATACTATTGTCCATACCAAATTGTCAATTCTAATTTTGTATCAAACTCAAAAGGCTTCTCAAAATGCGATTTCGTGTAATATACACGAGTTACATTCCTTGGTTACAACTTCCAAACTTGCTTGGGAATCACATCTTGAACTTGAAGGGCATTTTTGACGCATAAATGCTTCAAAATTTCCAAACTTGCTTGGAAATAGGACTTTGAGGGGCCTTTTGACATAAAAAAACGTTAGGCCCTACCATTAAATTAAAAATGACAATTTGGTATAAAGAACATGGCCTAATCTAATTGGACGATGTCCGCTGACAGTTCCTATCGCTTTCTATATAGCTGCAATATGAAAATACGGTAAAATACCGCTCTTCCACCACCTTTGTTCTTAGGCTGTTTTGGAACCCCTACCTTCTGTTTTTCACCGCACGCGTGAATGTTTATTTTTTGCAAAAGGAATCATTTCTCGACATACCTGACACAAATTTATAATAATTCAACACTTTGTACAAGTAGAATTTAGCGATTAAATAAACATGCAGTCTGCGCATGTTCTAGTCTCGTAATGGCTGGTCAGTTCAAATGTATTTTGTGTATGTTTTTAACCGCAAAATTCTGCTTGAAAATAGTGTTGAATTATTATAAATGTGTGTCAGCTGTGGCAAGAAATGATTCCTTTGGCAAACAAAAAAGAATCATGGACGGAGAAAAATTGTCAGTAAGGATTCCAAAATAACCTTAGACCAGAGGTGGAAATGAGTGCTATTTTCATATTGCAGCTATATAGAAAGCGATAGGAACTGTCAGCGGACATCGTCCGATCAAAGACAGTTCCTAAAGGAACTACATGTACATGTAGGCTTATGGCTATATTATCAAATATCAAATATCAATAGGCCTGTAAATTATTGTGATGAGGTTAATCAGGACTTTCCGACGAGGTTTCCCCTTTAGGCCCTTGTCAGTGGTGCAGGACAGAAAGCAGGACAAGGACAGCTGTCTAGTCGTTCGGATGGCGCAAAGACCGAGGACCTGTGTATATGCCTACATTGCCGTGCACATAAGATCCCCTGCCTGGTAGTTGGGATTCGATATAAGAGTAGGGCATAGTGCCGCTGCACGGGCCATATTTCCCTCATAGCACCCTGTATGGCGTATGCTCAGCTTCATTAGCCCAGTCGGAGCAGAACAGTAGGACGTTAAACTCCATTTCATTTCATCTATTGTGATGAGTTAAATAATGTGTGATTTGGGTAGATTTGTGAATCCTGCTGGCTACCCTTTAATTTAAAGTAGCTAAGTCAATATCATCAAAAGTCTTCCACATTGAAAACATGAATTATTTGTCAATTTAAATCAACATCGATTTTGTGATCTTACCAGGAAAAATGGACTTTTGATATCCAATATCTAACTAGACAAAATAAACATTTTACCATTGGTACACCGTACACGAATCGTTTACCATTGGTACATGAATCGTGTACCATAATATAATGCGTTTCAGCGCCATTTGTAACATGGGACTTGAAAGACCGAGGCTAGACATACTCCACAAGTCATGTCATATGGTGACGTCATAATTGTTATCTGGAGAGCATGCGCAATATAAATACTATCGGTGTAGACTGGAATAACCAGACGCTAGAGTTTGCCATTAGATTGAGACTTCGCCGAACATAACTGATTTGAAATTCGGGTAAAAACGGAAACGATTGAATGTAAATCAGTTTATATACATTCATATTACATTATTATATGAGTTGGGAACTTGCGACCCATGGCATTTGTCACTTTCAACTTTAACTTTGTTTGTGTCAATTTCTAGATCCCAAATATTAGCGATTTCTCCTTTAAAACAATTGTAGCCTAATGACTTTACCTTCATCTGATAAATTACCATCAAGATCTCTATCGTCTTCATAATCTGTACTATCTAAGTCGTCATTAAAGTAATCATCGTCGTTATAATTACGCGGTGAAGATGTATAACTAGACATGATGATTTTTCATTAAAATAATAAACACTCAGGACTCTTTCATTTCAGATCCGTTATGCGCTTAAATGCTGCGCATTAAAATAAACTAATCGATAAAGGTTACGAATTTTTTTTTATAAATAATTACAATTTGATAACTATTCCGCGAATAATTTAAATTTTGCTCCTCAAAGGTTATTAAAAAACAAACACCTAACAGAAACATAAGTATACACAAAAATTCCCTGTTATAGGTTAAGACGTTAAAATTGTTTAGTTCTATTTCCGCGCATGCGTTCTATACGTGGCTTTATTAATCCGATTTCCTGTTTTACTTTGCCGAAATGGCAGCTCATACATTTCATCAAGAATATATGCAGATGCCCCCAATTACTAGGGCATATACAACGGCATGTGTTTTGACAACTGTTGCAGTTGTAAGTTTTAATTATCAAGTCTTGTTTTTTTTTATGCTCGATACTTGAGCAGTGCCATTGTCAATGAATCAATCTCAGTGACCGGGATAGGATCAGTGATCAACAACAACAAATTTTCTGTTCGACTTTTTTCTTTTTTTTTTTACGCCGTTTCAGTTAATAGTCAATCACCTATAAATAATATTACTGACAAACTCAAATTTAAGAAAACCTAGATTAAAAATTGGTAAGACAGATGGCGAAAGCATAGTATCATAGGAATGTCAAGTTTGGGAAAGGACTTGACTTGACAGTTGACAGATTATCTTCATAATTGTAAGCAATCAAATTTGAACCTCCAAAACACTCTTTAAAGGAGCTAAATCGCTTTTATTTGGAACCTAGAAATGGACACAAATGGGTTGCAATGCATATAACAATGCAATATGATCATATATAAACTGATTTACATTCAATCGCTTCCGTTTTTACTCTAATTTCAAATCAGAGTTATATGTTTGGTGAAATACTTGTGAAGTCTCAATCGAATGGCAGTCTCTAGCGTCTGGTTATTCCAGTCTACACCGGTAGTATTTATTGCGCATGCTCTCCGGATAAGAATTTGAAGTCACCGTTTAATATGACTTGTGGAATATGTCCAGCCTCTTTCTTCGAGGCCCTTGTTACGAATGGCGTTGAAAGTTTGAAAAGCATTCTGGTACACAATTCGTGTACCAATGGTAAAATGTTTATTTTGTCTTAAATATTGGATATCAGAAGCACATCTTTTCCCGGTAAGATCACAACATTAATGTTGATTTAAATTGACAAATAATTTGTGTTTTCAATGTTGAAGACTGTGGATGATATTGAGTTAAAGACTAAGCTACTTTAAATAGATCAAAGTCTAACATTGTAACAATATTAAATCTGAATAACCATATTTTTCTTCTTCATTTTAGCAACTAGATATCATCACTCCTTTCCAGATCTACTTCAATCCTGATCTGATATTTAAACAATTACAGGTAATTGGAAAAAGCAGGGGATTATTAAAATGGGTTTGTCCAGCACACTTTTTGGGACATAATCAATAACTTGGTTTTATAACTGAGCTAGAATGTTCATTGTCTCCTTTGTTCATTAGTTGAATGCCTTCGTTATTTATGATAAGAATCTTCTTCTTAGCCTAAGCAGAGATAAGCAATTTGATTGGTTGTGACTTCGAGACACAATAATTCTATTTCTAATTGAGGTAAAATATTAAAACTTGGTGTAGATGTTCATTAGGTGGATGCAAAGGTGTGCTGGATGGGTAGGCATAAAATAAATGCAAAAACAAATGAAACCGGATATGGTTGATAACCCTCAAATACGATGAGATTTCCTACCCGGGTATAGGTGCATGTGTCGCTATGTGCCCTTTCTTCAGAAAAAGTGCCCCCAAATTTCGAAAGAGTTGACTCAAATACTCATGGAAATGCCTGTATCAATGTAATCATATCCCATTGACAACATTGTGCCCCCCCCCCTTCCTGCTGCCATTCCTTTGTTCCAAACAGATCAAGCGATACTAAAAATAGGATCGCGTGCAATATATGTGCATGTATCATCGATCCTTTGCTTGTTGGCTCTCACAGCCTCAGTAGGACAGGAAAACAGTTACAATTCTTTATTTAGCCCTATATTGAAATTGTCATGTATGGACGGATCTATTTTAGTAATTTTGAAAAAGATGTATGTAAAATTATGTTTTTGCAATTAGAGGCCATGAGCCACTAGCCCCTCGGACCAAGTCTGGGTAGTTCGCAGCCCAGTCCGTCCCTGAAAACAAATTGCCCAGGGCCGGTTTCTCGAAATCTTAACTAAAGATAAAATCCCAATTTTAGTAGATACTTCAATTTTGATTGGCTAAGTACTAAAATCAATCTAATATTATCCAATCAAATTACTAAAATTTGGAATTTATGTTAGTTAAAATTTCGTGAAACAGGCCCCTGGATTTAAATGTGTGAGAGTTTGGCACAAATTTCTGCAGAAAACGATGCAGGCTATTTTTAACTTTATTTCAGGATCCAACATCCAATCCATTTCCACCCAGCCCAATTTGGCTGGGTGCTGACCAGGCTGCAGACAGGAGCCCCAGATTAGTTCTAAAATAATAATTTATGACTTGATTTATTATGTTGTACCAAATAAATCTATCTATCAACCAAACTGGCATACAAATTGGATTTGTGTGTGTGACGGACTATGAACAGAATATTCCTGTTATTTGTACCATTGATGTTAGGCCCCCGGTGACGGAATGCACATAAAAGATCCCTTGGCAGTTGGAATTCGATATAAGAGTAGGCGATAGTGCCGCTGCCCGGGCAAAATTTCCCTCATAGCACACTGTATGGCGTATGCTCGTCTTCATTAGCCCAGTATAGGAGTAGGACGTTAAACCCCATTTCATTTCATTTCATTTCCCCCCGGTGACATTTTAAGCCAAGGGCCCCATACATCCTTAATCCGGCCCTGATTTCCACTGATGGCTCCCAGATTAGATTTCACAGCCAGATTAATATTCAGAATCAGTTTATTTCACATGAAATGAATTTAGGAAAGTGACAAAAAAAAAATCTGGAACATTTTTAGCTTTAGCATACTCAAGACCAATACACTAACCTTTACCATGAATCCTATTGACATGTATTCTGTCATCAGTTACTTCCTTACGCTGCCGGTGTCCAAGTTTTGATCATCTTCTCGTTTTTGGGGTTGTGTCAGTTAACTCTGAACAGAATCGAATGAAACTTTTGATTGTCATGTTAATGTTCAAACCTTCAGGACTTAGCTTACTCATAATCTCTCAACCAAGTGTCAATGTTACATGTATGGTATGTCATGTCTCAAATATTCATGAAATCGATTCTAGCACATGCCACAGAACCAAATATTTCCTGTAATTTCTGTCTGTCTACCCTACTTACGAGGCCCCAGCACGCAACTGGGTGAATGTCTTAAATGAGTTCCGCGATGAGTATTTTCTGAATAAGCAAAGCGGTTGTCTATCTGTCGCACCATTTGAAACACAATAACTCTGCTTGTGATTATTATTCAGGTAGAATGTTCAGACATAGTGTATACAGATATACTGTATACAATGTAGAGTGTAGACTGAGTTCGATGATGAATATTTTCTGCTTGGACTAATCAGTTGTCAGTCTCTGCATCACACCTTTTGGAACATAACAACTTTGGAGATAGCATGTTAAAACTTGGTGTAGATGTTTGTTAGGTGAATGCTATGACTTTGTTCAGTGATGAACATTTCCTGCTTAGATTAAACCAAGATTAGCATTTGGACTGACCAAGACATTACAACTAAAAAACCTATAATCGAGGGAAAGTGATGATAAACATTTAGATTGCTAGATGCTTTACAAAGAGATAAATATGCGAGAAATTTATGAGTTTCATCTATTTATTTTTATACGCCCACATTGATCATATATATATATTGTCATCACCCCTGTCTCTCCGTCCGGCATCCAGAATTGCTAAAGTTAAAATCCAATTGACTGTAAATTGATACACAGTGTTTAAGGTCATGAGACGAATAAGCCTATGGCCCTTGATCACTTTGAAAGATCTTGTGGACGCTCGAGAGGCTAAAGTTGATATCTGATTGACTTTAAATTTATACACAGTGTTTATGTTCATGAGATGAAGAAGCCTATTGATTTTCAGCTATTTCCAATAATTACTACCTGAGTAATGGCCCTTGATTACTTTCAAATATCTTTTAGATGCTCTAGAGGGAAAAGTTAATATCCGATTGACTTTAAATTTATACAGTGTTTAAGGTCACGAGACGAAGAAGCCTAGTTATTTACAATAATTTTCGATAATTACTGAGAGGTATGGCCCTTGACCACTTTGAAAATTCTTGTAGAAGCTCAAGGGCTAAAGTTAATATCTGATTGACTTCAAATTTAGGCACAGCGTTTAAGGTCATGAGATGAAGGATCCTAGTCATTTTGAACAATTTCTGATAATTAATTCCAGAGTTATGGCCCTTGATCACTTGGAAAAATTTTGTGCATGTTCAAGGCAATGAAACAAACAATCAAAATAAATTCTAACAATTTCTGATAATTACTTAATGGGTTATTACTCATGTGTTGTAAATGTTCTCATTACTGACAAAAGAAAAAATATGTGACAACCCTTGTTGACAGCCCAGACATCTTAGCTGTTGTGGGTACATGTTTCGTTGTCTGGCAACCTATCTTTGGGATTGAGGGGAGGCAACATCAGCCTTACTGATTCCTTGTTTTCTTTCAGTTATGGCGGCTTGTTACAAACTTTCTGTACTTTGGACCAATCGGCTTCAACTTTCTTTTCAATATAATCTTTGCATATAGATATTGTCGTATGTTAGAAGAAGGATCCTTTCGTGGACGCACAGCGGATTTTGTTTTTATGTTTTTATTTGGTGGGTTTTTTATGACTGTATCCTTTTATAATTCATTTATATGAAATTGCTGATATTTAGTTGGATTACCTTGTGATTTTAAACCAATGGAAAAAATTAACATATTTAGTTATAACAATGTAATATGTAAGTTTTAGATAAAGTGCTGGCCCTTCTTGCTATAATAGTTCTAAAATAGATAATTCAAAATTATAATATTCAAAATTTCATTCAAATTACTTTATTCTGAGTGAAGTTTTGATAAGATATCTGATGTGGCATAGATTGTTTATCATTGTAGCAATGTTACTTGTTAATTGAGTGTCAGCCTCACTTCTCCATTTTGAAATTAAATCATGAAATGGTGATTGTATTTTAATCCATTTACATTTCCGCCATCCAATGTGAATGAATGTCTAGATAATTTATATAACATTTGAAGCCAAAATAAAAACCTGCAATAGGCAGATTTAGCTCTTACATAATACATCGTTAAGCAGAGTGATAAACAATTTGATTGCTTGATGATTAATAAAAAAGATAAATGTGTAAGTAATTTTAATGAGTGTCATCCAGTTATTTTGGGATTGAGGTGGGGGGAAATAGGTTTCACTGTTGGTTTGTTTCATTTTTATTGGCTTATCTATTGACATAAACCTTTAACGAAGACAGACTGTCATGCCATGATAAAACAAATCAACATATAAAATATACTATTCAAAAAAAGTAGGGGATATTTGATTTTTAAGTGTTATTAAAGTCACCTAATGAAACTGACGAAGAAACAAATGACAAAATGAAATGAAGTTCACATTCATCGATTTATTCCAAATGATCGTTAGACTAAGTAAGGCACAGACTGACCATTATAAGGGTAAAATGATACCCGGGGTCAAACAGCAAAGTTACCACAGCATCACAACCAAGTCAGTAACGGGTAAATCCTCCTCTGTTTGCCAAACAAGCATTGATCCGACGTGGCATACTCCTAATGAGACGTCTAAGGTCATTTTGGTCCAGATTGTCCCATTCCTGTTGCAACGCAGCAGCAAGTTCTTGGACATTGGCAGGACGTTGTTGACGTTGACGTAACCTCTGTCCAAGCATGTCCCAGACATGCTCGATGGGGGAGAGGTCGGGACTCAGTGCTGGCCAAGGTAATGTGGTGATGTTCTGTTGTTGGAGGTAATCTGTAACGATCCTGGCCCTGTGACATCTTGCGTTGTCATCCTGGAAGATGAAACGGCGACCATGACGTCGTGCGAACAGCACAACATGGACTGCCAAGATGTTGTCCCGGTAGTACTGGCCTGTAACACGCCCTGCAACAACATGTAAAGCCGTTCTTCCAGCAACAGTGATGCCTCCCCACACCATAACAGAACCACCCCCAAATCGATCATGTCTGATGACGTTAACGTCTTGGAAGCGCTCGTTTCGACGACGCCACACCCTCCTACGTCTGTCCAAAAAATCAACAGTGAACCTTGACTCATCTGAAAACATCACATTGCTCCAGCGTCGATTATCCCAGTGTTGACGATCCCTACACCAACGACGTCTTGCCTGAATGTGATGATCTCTCAAACAAGGGATCACGCGAGGACATCGGGCGCGAAGGTGACCCCTATGCAGTCGATTCCGAATCGTCTGGCCACTCACTCTCACACCAGTGTCTGTTTGAAGACATCTGATCTGATTTGCTGTGATGACACGATTTCTCAAGGCCAAGGTACGGATAAAACGATCCTGGGCTTGAGTTGTCGCCCTTGGTCGACCTGAGCGTGGTCTGTCCTGTACAGATTGTGTATCACGGTATCTGGACCATAGCCTGCTTATGACAGACTGAGAAACATTCATCGTCCGCGCCACAACCGCCTGTGTTGTGTCTATCTGTAGCATGCCAAGGGCACGTAACCTTTCATTTTGGGTAAGCCGACGCATATCAAAATTTGTTTTCTGGTCACTAAAACAATTAAACTGATGTTTCCACCCTGGAATTCAATGCCACAATGACTGTAACATTCAAAGTCAGAGTCGTGCAAATCTTGGGTTGGACCCCCATGATGATCCCAAGCATCACCTGCATTCCATGCGGTAGCTATTGGTGCTATGGGCGTCACATGTAACTGGAAATGTTTCTTCTGTTAGGTTCTATAGTGACTTTTTTCATAGTCATTTGCATATTTTAGTATTATGCCCCCAAAATCAAATATCCCCTACTTTTTTTGAATAGTATATAATCAATTTGATTTTTAACCTAGATCTTTGCCCATAATACAGTAATTTTACCGAAATTTTCAATGTATGGTGTATACATTTTTCATTACTTATTTTAGAACTATTATAGCAGAACGGAACAGCTGTTTCTCAAAATCTAGCATAATGAACCTTTAAATAATCAATTTATTGGCCCTCTGGTATTGTACATGTAGATTTATGGTCCTTAACATATTACAAGCTTACTGGTTTGCTAATAAATCTAGTTTTCTTAGGTAGTGTTTTTACAATAATGTTAGTGTATGTGTGGAGTAGAAGAAATCCTTATATAAGAATGAATTTTTTTGGATTAATGAACTTTCAAGCTCCATATTTACCATGGGTTTTATTAGGGTTTTCTTTATTACTGGGCAATTCTGTGATAATTGATTTAATGGGTAAGTATCTGTATAATTTTCTCTTGCCTTAAGTCTGAAATGAAGTTACATAATGTAATTTTGGGGGACGTTTCTAGTGCTTGTATAAATGTACATGTTATATAATTTAAAGTACAGCACATAGACAGTACACTTAACAAGTATGGGCTTATTAGGGACCAGGAACTGAGAGTGATGTCATATCTAAAATCAAAATCTGCCAATCGGTACACAATTGTCAATGGAACAAGCATTCCAAGTTTTATGTCGATCATATAGTTAAACTGGTCAAGCCATAGACTTTTTCGAAGAGCGTTGCTCTCAAGAATAGGAACAAGACAAGTAGCATTTGGGGACCAGTTCCTGGTCCAAAAACTAAATTAATATAAAACTAAGTATATGTAAGGACTGTATGTCATACAATCCTAAGGACTTACCTTTTGTACAGTGGTGGAATTTACGATGTAGATCTGGTCTAGATGTTGCCGTTGGAAGATTTTGTATTACTGACAGAAGGTTGGGCCTCCTTTGCTATTGCTGAGGAAAATAGTCCCTATTGATGTGATTCGGCAGGTCATGCCAATTTGTGACCCGCTTGAGATGTCAATAATTTTTGAAAATTCTACCTAAGATTTGATTTCTGCTCCTACAGTCCAGTCTGAAAAAAAGACAAAAAAAACTATGAAAATAAAAAGGTAGGCCTGTTATCAGTAGTATTTTCATAGAATGATGGCAGGTCTGTTCTGCCATAACTCTGGCAAACTAATAAAATATATATTTCTAAAAAAGTAGGGCATATTCAGAAACAATACAAAACTGCAGAAATGCACTGCTGTTTTTATTAGAGGTAACCAGTGTATGTTAATAACAGGCCAATTGCCTACACATGAACATAAACAGTTCATATGGTGATCCATGCACCTACAGAAATACAGTCAACCGCTGATAGTTCGAGACTACCACTGAAGAGTGCACATTCGCCGTGTCGAGGCCATCTTTCTGACAGTATGATACTATAAATAGCCATGGCACGTGCAATTCTCTACAAATCTATCAACTATTACAGCCGTAAAAAAATTATTGTTGACGATTTTGAATAGCAGTAAAATTAAGCTTCTTGGTTATTACAGCAGATTTAGAAATTACGTTCTGTCATTTTTTAAATCACTTTATCATTAACTGTACCGTTAAGAGCGGCATCTTTTGGTTTAGTACAAATAATATCTCTGAAACACCCGGGTTAGACAGGAGCATGATACTAGCAGTAGTTTCATTTTACTTTTACAAGCTTCTTAAAACAATTGTTGAGCTAGCTAACGTGCTCATTTCTAAATTCAATTTCTTGTTCTAGCTTTCTGTTATGTTTCGTAAAAAAGTAGTCTTGATTATCCCGGCCTGTCAATCAGCCCTAGAATGGTCGATAGACTGGTTAAGCGAGACTAATTTCAAAACAAGGGCACGTAACCTATCTTTTACTCAAAAGTGTCTGGATGTTATGGACGACACATGGAACCAGTTTTCAGTCTATTATTTATAGATGATTAATGGTCATAGCTTATTAAGTACAACATGATCGTTTGTTTAGTGACTATAATTGTGTGAAACTGATTTGAGGCTTGGCATATATATAAATATTGTGGCGAAATTGTCGAGATATATGGAGATATTTATTTATGGTGGGTCACCCTACATATGGGTGGCTTATCTGATGGCCCCATTTCACTAGCAAAGAGATACACTGTCAATAGTGAAAATGGACGTTTTTGATTTTTGTCTTCATAATGAGTGATTGCTCCACCAATCCTCAGACATTCAGCAATTCATCGTGGCATGCTCCTAATCAACCGTCCAATCACGATTTGGGCAATCTGACCCACTCCTCTTGCAGTGCCACGGCCAATTCTTGCAGTGTTGTCGGTGACATTGACATCGACGAACACGTCTCCCGATCATGTCCCAGGCATGGCCTATAGGGGAAAGGTCAGGACTCATGGCTGACTCATTCACGACACGAGCGTGGTGGGCATGGCCATTATCATCTTGAAAGATAAAACGTCGACCTGCAGGTTGAGCAAAGGGCAGAACTATCGGTGCCAGGATGTGCTCACGGTAGTACACACCAGTGACCCTTCCTTGAACAATATGCAAGTCCAGTCTGCCAGTCATGGTGATTCCTCCCCACACCATAACATACCCACGCCCGAATCTGTCATGCTGTGTGACGTTAACGCCTATCGGTGATATCCACTGAGAACACGCGCTCATCGATGATTACCCCAATTTCTACGCTACCTACACCATTGACGCCTGTTTGCCATGTGCTGGCGAGTTAATGGAGGCACAATATGCGGTGGTCGCGCATGCAAATGGTCTGCATGTAGCTGATTTTTAATCGTTTGGGGTGTAATTCGAATTCCTGTAACTCAGTACAAGTTTACAGAAAGCTGATGGGCCGTTTGTCCTCGATTTCGCAGGACCTGTGTACGAATGTATCGATCCTGGGCTTGTGTAGTGGCGCTAGGACAACCCGAACAAGGTCTGATCATCAACATTGTGTGTTTGTTGGTACCGGTTCCACAGTCTGTGACACATTATGCATGTTGGCTACTGCTCGCTGTGTAGAACCCATTTGAAGCATGCCAATAGCACATAGACGTTTATCATGTTGAAGACGTCTCATTGCAAATTAAATGTAACACACTAAAGCAAAGATACGCTAAACAGTAAATCTTATTCAAGAACCGATAGGTAAGCAAACATGGATAGGATAAACCAGCACGCGGCAGTTTTCATCAACCCTTCCTCTTAGTGTCAGATTTGACAATGAACCCCTACCATGTGTATGGCACTATTGTGTGTCGCACATGCAGCTCAGTGGTTCTGTTAGGGCGATAAGTTCTTCATCTGTGAACATACTCTCAAAGTATGTCAAGTGTCCATGACTATTTATCATATATTGTCATATAATTAGGATTTATAATTAGTGATGGTCTGATATGGCACCTATCGGTGTCATTGTTAGTCGGGAAACGCATGGTACTATTTTACCGCGGGAATCAAACACGAACGTGGGGGGGTTGGATGGCCAAATGGTTAGCACGTGCGCGCTGTATCATAAGGCCTGTCATTGAGCCAACTGGCGTGGTTTCGAATCCCCGGTTGTACGTGACAAGGAGTAGGGTCGCTTGTTCAACCTCGTGGGTTTTCTCCGGGTCCTCCAGTTTCATCCCATTGCTAAAGACCCCTACGCGCAAGCGAATTATTGAAATAAAATTAAACCATATGTTAGTCCCGAAATTACCTAGTTTGTTCGAGTGGACGTTAAACCCCATTTCTCTCTCTCTCTCAAACACCAACGCTGTGTTTTTGAAGTAATAATTGGGTCACGCTTCCAACACAATCAAAAATACACACCATCTATTATGAACATAATTATTTGCCGTGTCATTAATTAATAAAGTCGAGATTATCATATTTTAAGTGTTGATTACGATATAATTCCTGACGGCACCTGTATGTCTATATTAGTTCATGCAATGATACATCAACAAAGCGATAGCTTCCTGCATGACCTGTTTGTCAACAGTGGCAATCACATGACATTCTTCCGACATTTCTAGAAAAAAAAAATAAAAAAATAAAACATCTAATGGGAACTTATTTGTTGGTAATATTATTAATTCATAAAGTATGATCTATATTATGAGTTATAATTTGGTGATACAAATTATCTAAAAATTGTAAAGTAGCCTACCATAACAATACAAATCACTTAATTATTTCTAAAATTTATCGGCATATAGAAGCCGGAATATCTGACGGTAATCACGTGACATCAAAGGGATACACCCCAACCCTTTCATCCTTCATTCCAATCACGCGCAAACCATGAGATTTTCCCGCCTTTTCCAAAAGTTCAACTTATTATGATAGTGGCAGACAATACTAGCAGTGAACTAGATAAAACAAAGGAAAAAATGCCACAAAGTAGTAAGATTTGGAACTATTTCACGAGAAGCGACGCTTCATACCAGCACGGTATGAGAGTCTTGTATTACCGGTACGTCTAAATAGCAACAAGAACGGCAACTGGGCCCTTATTCATGAAAACTTAAACTAAGATACAATCGAAATTTTAAGAAATACTGCAATTCGATTGGCTGACCAATATGCAAATTGGATATATGCAAATTGATTTTACTGGTCAGCCAATCGAATTGCAGTATTTCTTAAAATTTCGATTGTATCTTAGTTTAAGTTTTCGCGAATAAGGGCAAAACTTTTATTTCAGTGACTATTTAAATGTATCATGTGTCAAGCAAATAATGATTTGTTCACAACTCAGAAAATATTTTAAAGGTATTTACTGAGTCGTTTTCAACAGATATCGGCAAAATGGTCGTGTATCAGGCTATCGGCCGATACCGATTTCTCCCGATAGGCCTCTTATTGGCCAATTACCGATGTTGAAACCTATTATCAAACCATCACTATTTATAATGACAAAAACTGTTCTAGATTGAATGGTCGAACGAAAATTCTAAATATCTAATAATGTTGTCCATCTTTCCAATTTCCAAATAAACTTGACTATCAAGATAAATACCTAGTAGTAGGGGTCGAACTCCCAGATCCATGACCAATTTCCGGGGAGGAAGGTTTGACGATTGATTCTGGTAGGGGGGACTGTTCTGAGGATTTGTGCAGTTTGCAACCTCTGGAAAGTGTGGGCAACTCTTAGGAGAGGCAAAAATCCAAGATGGCGGCCGAAATAGCACAGAGACTTATAGTTGGGTGCAAATGTCATCAAACCGTCCTTGTAATATGTCATTTTTATAGTTTTCATTGTCGCTGAACCCATTAAGAACACTCCCAAGCCATTTTGATGCACGCATATCCCAGTATGGCGGAAATCTGGCAGAAATGGTGGAAAAAAACAGAAAATAATGTCATATATTCTGGTATGGCAAATATGGGCTTGTAATATATCGTTTTTAGGGTTTTCATGGATGCTTAGTTCATTTTTAATGTCAATGAAAACTACATTAGATGTTAATTATGAAACCAAAGTCAGCGCACAGAAGATACAGAGATACGGAAAACACCATTATATACGTAATAAGTCATTCATATAGCACCTACTAATATAATTTCTAAACATTCATAGGCATATACCTTTCACACGAACCTTTCAAGACGACAGCCTTCAATCAGAGTCCGTGTCAGAAAGTTCTGAATCTAATGCACTGTCTGACTCAGATGTGTCACTAACAGAGGTATCATTATCCTCCTCATCATCACCATCATCAATGTCTACCGATGATCTGAACTTAAGTGGCAAGGCCAGGTTTATATACCGTACAAGAACACACATTCACTCTTTCAACTCGCATCCATGTCCGAGTGGATCAGCTACGTTACTGACATTGTAACTTAGCATGATATATGCTTGATAGTTCGCTCTTTTTGTGTGCTGTTCTAGACTATCTTGATCAGGTGGGATACTGCGTGTGCATTTGTTTTTCATCTTTAGCCATTTGCTAGCTCTACCACAAGCTACAGTTGTCATTATAGATACATCTCAGCACAAATTGTTCCATGGAGGCTACCAGGTTATCGGATACAGTTAATGCGACACCTAAACCATCTAACAATGATGCATCTGCACTAAACGTGAACTTATATAGAGTCTTTTTGGAATGGCCAAAAAATCCCGACACTGTATCACAACCGGTTATCGAGTGGAACTATACGGTACGTAGCGCCACATCACGTGGCAGTAATCTTTGTGCATCAAAAAACTGCCCCTTTCGTCTAACTGCTAGAGACCCTGGTTCCATCTGAGAAACATAGCTTGATAAAACCAAAATATCAGTATCTTCTGCGTCTAGATGAACAATCGATCTCAGTTGTGCATAAATGTAAAACAAAATAGTGTCCGCCTCTAATTGGCCACATTCGAAAAGTTGGAACCTACAGTTGTCGGCTGTTAGATCATAACAGTTCTTTCGGATAGAGTAAATGAACTGAATACCTGTGTGTGTTTTTACTTATTTGTCGAACTCTTTATGTAGAAACACTTGTAGTCTCACTTTATTAGAATCGTTTGAAAGGAAATTGGAGAATTCTCGAGCGTTCAGAAATTTACTATCGGCCTTGATATAAATGTTCTTGGTACCACCTTGGTACTGTTCTGAACGCAGTTTGCGTTCAGAATCTTTCGTCGAGATCGGAAGACCGTATGGGTCATTCACAAACACAATCGTTTTCGCTTTTGGGTGCCGTTTCAAAGCTGGATTGAAAATTTTCACTGCATAATCATACCATGTGTATCTGCTTTCTGTCTGTCTTCTGTCGATGGAATCGCTATTCGCCAGTACATGCCCATGTCCAAAAGAGCAATGCAACTATTTGGAATCGTAATAGGTACAAGGTCCATCTGATGCACAAAGATTACTGCCACGTGATTGGGCTTCATATCGTACAGTTCCACTCGATAACCGGTTGTGATACAGTGTCAGGATTTTTGGGCCATTCCAAAAAGACTCTATATAAGTCCCCGTTTAGTGCAGATGCATCATTGTTAGATGGTTTAGGTGTCGCATTAACTGTATTCGATAACCTGGTAGCCTCCATGGAACGATTTGTGATGAGATGTATCTATAATGACAAAAAATACACAACTGTAGCTTTTGGTAGAGCTAGCAAATGGCTAAAGATGAAAAACCTGATCAAGATAGTCTGGAACAACACATAAAAATAGCGAACTATCAAGCATATATCATGCTAAGTTACAATGTCAGTAACGTAGCTGATCCACTCGGACATGGATGGGAGTTGAAAGAGTGAATGTGTGTTCTTGTACGGTATATAAACCCGGCCTTGCCACTTAAGTTCAGATCATCGGTAGACATTGATGATGGTGATGATGAGGAGGATAATATTACCTCTGTTAGTGACACATCTGAGTCAGACAGTGCATTAGATTCAGAACTTTCTGACACGGACTCTGATTGAAGGCTGTGGTCTTGGAAGATTCTTGTGAAAGGTATATGCCTATGAATGTTTAGAAATTATAATATTAGTAGGTGCTATATGAATGACTTATTACGTATATAATGATATTTTCCGTATCTTTGTATCTTCTGTGCGCTGACTTTGGTTTCATATTTAACATCTAATGTAGATTTCATTGACATGAGACCATTAAAAATGAACTAAGCATCCATGAAAACCCTAAAAGCGATATTTTACAAGCCCATATTTGCCTTACCAGAATATATGACATTATTTTCCGTTTTTTTCCACCATTTCTGCCAGATTTCTGCCATATTGGGATATGGGTGCATCAAAATGGCTTGGGAGTGTTCTTAATGGATTCAGCGACCCTGAAAACTATACAAATGACATATTACAAGGATGGTTTGATGACATTTGCACCCAACTATAATTCTCTGTGCTATTTCGGCCGCCATCTTGGATTTTTGCCTCTCCTGAGAGTTGCCCACACTTTCCAGAGGTTGCAAACTGCACAAATCCTCAGAACAGTCACCCATACCAGAATCAATCGTCAAACCTTCCTCCCCGGAAATTGGTCACGGATCTGGGAGTTCGACCCCGACTATAGTGATAAAGATAAAGTCTCTAGTGATATTTATGTTTTTACCATTATTTAAATGGGACACATTTTGAAGGGTCGCATTGTAAATTTCAGCACTTATAATGATGTTTGTAGCCTAGTGAAAATAGTTTCAATTAATTTAAATTTGTGTTTTCTAGGTATCGCAATAGGTCATATTTATTATTTCTTAGAAGATGTATTTCCACAACAGCCAAATGGTTTTAAAGTGTTAAGAACACCTCAATTATTGTAAGTATTATTGTGAACTTGCAGATACTTGAAGTTATTGATCAACACACTGACAATTACATTAAGAAAATAATAATAGAATTCCATTCAAACATTTCTTAGGCTCTATGATCCATTTCCTTGGGCTCTCCCCTAATTGTTACTGCTGGAACAAGGCTATCTGTAATCGAAATCTAACTAGCTAGATCACAGCTTTGCAATTAATGCAATGAGACTAACATGTTCTTGATTTAGTACAAGCTCAAAGAAAAATGACATTTTAATCTGCCAAGTATTTGCCTTTGCAATATACATCATGTCATAAATTTTCAGAAAATATATATTTGATGCAGCACCTGAGGATCCGAACTATAACCCTCTACCCGAAGACAGGCCAGGAGGATTTGAGTGGGGACAAGGACAAGCTCCTAGAGAACCACAAAATGGGAATCAAGAAGAATGAAATATACAAATCCCAAGTTGGATTATTTAATGTGCATAAAAGAAAGGAGTTATTATCACTGACATCTGTTAGTCATTTCATCATAACATGATGTGATTCATGAGCAAATATATTTCTTGCTCAAGGACTACATTGCAGCTTACATAATATTTATTTATTCATACCATTGTTACTGTGATGAAGTTGACCTCCTGGAGTGCATGATCGATCATTCATTTAAATATTTTCATGAGTGTTGTTGATATGATAATATCTACAATTCTTTAAGACATTGTGTCTGTGGTAAATGTTTCTTGTTATATATAAGACTTATCAGAATTAAAAAATTCTATTTTGTTGTACAATAATTAGATTTTTTCATTTTCCCCAATACTGTAAACCATCAACCTTTTTAAGACAGAGTTTTCAGTGTTATAATTAAAAGGACTAGACCGCTTCAATTTTGGTCAAAAATAAAATGGTTAATTTTGATTTGTTTTGTGGGATAACAATCCGTCATCATTAAAAATTTTTTTAGTTCTATAGCTTATTAAGTCGTCTACACAAAAATTCCAAAATTTTACCAAAATTAGTAAACATGCAGACTTTGCTTCATCTTTTGAAACTGTATAGAACTTGTCTGATCACAAACCAAAATAACACACCAGATCAACCCAATTCTATAATTTATTATGACATAAAGAGCGTTAGCTCCTTTTAGTATGTAATGGTGCATCATATAATCTTACTTCACAAAAATTTAGATTTCAAAAATGGTGTGCCTTAACAGTAAAAAATCTGCAAAAAATTCAAATTGTATAGTAATCTACTGTAAGTGCAGATGATAGGAGTCAGGCATAAACATAACTGTTTTTGATAAACATTATTTATATTGGTTAAAATATTGGACCCATGTGACATATTTCATTGAAAAGCACATACTGGATAGGGCCTGTATTTTAAGTTGTTTAATATATAATACTCAAAGCCATTAAAAACGCAAATTTTAACAAATGTACATAACAATTGATAAAATCGAGATAACAAGCATCTGTGGATAATTTCATGAAAGAATTCACTACAAATGCACAAAACCAAACAGTCAGAGAACCATGAAACAAAGCAGGGGTCAGCTGAAGTCAATATCGGGTATGTCCACCCTGAGCTCTTACACATGCCTGAAGTTGCCTTTGCATGAACTGGCACAGATGTCTCACTACCCGCTGTGGGATTGTTTGCCAATGATTTTGGAGTGCCTGTGCCAACTCTGCAACAGGTCATGGTGGCACGGCCTGAGTTTGAACACGTCGTCCAAGTTCATCCCAAAGGTGTTCGTTCGGGTTCATGTCCACGCCGGTAGATGCAGTGATGTTCATCAGGAAAACTGAGGTTGAATCGGGATTTATCCGGGAAGATGACATTCCGCCATTGTGCAGATACCCCTGATTTGCATCCAATTTGCCGTGTGGCAAGTTGATGACGATGCAAAAGGATTTGACCTTAGTAAGGTCAACGGCAGCGTAACCCAAGAGCAGCCAGTTGCCTTCGGACTGTTTGAGGACTGATCTGACGTTGCCATGTTCCAACAGTTCCCCTGGCAATAGCAGTAGCTGACTTGAACCTGTTGCGCAGATGCTTTAGTCGGAGGTGGCGCTCCAGGTTGGGGTCGATCAGCAACTCTTCCAGTGGCGTGGAAGCGTTGTCTGAGGCGAGCAATGGTCTATGGGTGGACATTAAAGTGTCTGGCGACGGTTACCTGTGAAGCTCCATGATTAAACATGCCAATGGCTCTGTTCCTGTTTTCTTGTGTAAGGCGTGGCATTTTTTGCGAAGTGATGAATGTTGATCTTTATTTAAAGGGCCAGAGTGCAGGGAATGCACGTGCAATTTGTGTTACATGGGACTGCTTAAAATCGTGAAAAAAGACAAGTGTTGCAGTTTGCACGAACAAAGTTCATTACCGAGAACTGATTTTGGGCTCAAACCCAGATCTTTACACAAAGAGACCCATCACAAGTTTCACCTATGTGCCATAAGATAGGAAAACCCAAGAAAATGTTTACCAGAAATATTTCATGAATTAGGCATTGCGTTTTTAATGGCTTTGAGTATAGATATAGCACTTATGCTAACGCACTCGTGCAATATCAATATATTACTTAATGTCTCGCACTCGACCATTAAACTACACATACATGTTAGCAGTGACAACTACTAGAGGCTTTTAGCAACCATCTACTTTGTATATGTGGATCTAGTAGTTTCTGGTTCAGACAAAATTTCAGATGGAGACGGCTCTGGTAAATTGGCTCTGGTAAATTCCTTAAATGTATTTTAATGCAACAATAAACAAGAGTAGAAGAATTAAAGATAAATATTTATTGCAGAAACAACTTTACTGTTCCAAGATGAATGCGCTGTCTTACTTAAACACCAGTGACAAGGTCTAAGACATATTTGTATAATGAGCATGTTCATTTAATTTTAGATGATGCTGAACACCCAAATTTTATAAATTATGGGCAAATACAACACTAAAAATGACGACAATTGACATAAATATTTTTGTTCAAATTATACACAATATATTCCTTTTATTTCCAGATATTCCTTAATAAAAAGAAAGTCAAGAAATTTAAGAGTATGCAAATTAACAAATAGATTTTGATACTTTAGTCTTGTTCAGTGGTTTCACAAAGACTGATGTTATGTATCATTCAACATAACTCCCACTGAATCTTAAGATTTCAAATTTTTGATATTTATTATAATCTGACAAATTAGATTTACAAAAATCTGCCATCCATTTTATAAATAAAATCTATATCTGGAAACAAAAGGGACTTTAAGTTGATTAGGATAGCACGATCATTTGAATGTCTTCAAAATGGCATTTTTCAAACATACTATTCAACAACTGACACAGTAACTAACCCAGCTGTTAACTAAATATAATATATTAACTGTACACCTCTTGGAATAATCTCCAATTAGTTTTGTCTCTACAATTGTAGACTATATTTTAAAATGTACACAGTTTACACTTAACACAATATTTATTAAGAAAGGTTTAGTTTATTATTATAAAGTTAAAGAATATTTATATATTAATTAATCCACTCACACAGAAACTTGAATCTACTTAAAACTTTGTCACATTGAATAATCAGTATATGTAGAAGTGTCTTTTTTCCCCTGTAATTTGTAGTATGTAGAGATTTATAAATATTGACCGTATCAACATCAATATTAGGATGTATTTTCATTCCTTTATTTTGCTATCTTTTACACTACATCATTGTTTAAATTTTATTGATTTGCCTGGACCTTCAAGCTAGCCATTCATTTTAACCATTTGCAATGCCTTGAGTCTTAGTAGCTGATCAGAAATCTTCATGTATTAGTGAGAGACGTAAAGCGATAAAAGAATAAAATGTATGAAAAGATCTGATTTGATTAAATTGGTATTAAATCCAATAATAAATATGCTTTTCACTTTCTGGTCATTTCAGAATGACTAAGTACTCGGATGGGTTATAAAATGAAAAGAAAACAAAACAAATTGGTCTAGAATGTATGTTTTGAGTGAAAATCAGCATGTAATTTAAAGTAAAATCAAACATGTATTTGATATACATGTAAATAAAATTTTTTAAAACCAAACATTAATGAATGGTACCAGTACTTAGTATGTACATGGACCTATAAATATAAAATTGAATTCTTAGATCAAAAAGAGAAATTGGACAACTCGTTTTCATCCAAAATGTCTCCAGGTACATGTATAAACAGTACATTAAATAATAATTTTCACAATTCCCTGCATAGAATTAGGAATATAGTAGAAGGTCTTCGATTTAATATTTTGAGTGGTTTACAAGAATATGTTAGTCATAAGACATTAAATATTAATGGGTTCCTATTTTATTATTGAAGTTCTCAATTACACACATACATGTATGCATAAAAACAGATAAATATGATCACCAAATAAAATGTTTTCTAGAATCGATTAAATTCACTTCAGAATGCAAAAAGATATGTCTAATAAATAATAATTTATTGTTTTATGTTGCCCCATCAAGACAAAAACTATTTTGGTTTTTAATCTATATATTATCTACACGTGTACGAAGATTCTGAAAAATAGTGAGGAAATAAAATAAAACAATTATTTAGACTGGTCAAATTTCTCCTTTGACAAACTTTTTATTTAGCCAATAATGACTTGGTGCAAAATTCTCATCAAGATATATTACAGGCAGGCAGGCTTATTTTCAATCATTTTAATTAACAAATTGTTCTTTTCGTGGGTTTTTAATCACTTGGTCGTTTTTCACTGTACTTTTTGGTGAAATCTTCAGCATTTTTCATAAATTTCTTTCTATCCTTTGTATATTCTTCAGCTAAATCTCCTCTTAGAGGATGTTCTGGCTCGGGGTCATTGACAAGTGCAACAAGAGACTGAAGGACTGCAAAGAGAAATTAACATCAAAAGTATGAATGAATTAAATTAATATATATAAAGTAAACATAATATAATGTAATGCTGAACACAATTCATTCAAATTTATTAAAATGATATCACAGATTAGGATGATCAATAGATTATGCATATAAGAATAACTGTATCAACTGGCAAATGACCAAATGGATCTCAGGCCAAACTCTGTTATGAGAAATATCAGTCACTATGCATGTGAAAGAAATCTAAATATTCAAAGTCAACATTTTGGTAATATTACAAACCAAAGCTAATTATTTGCTCCATGCACAAAATACACTGACTTTTGATCAACTGCTAAGTGATAAAGGGACTGCATATCAAGGCATTATTCACTGTTAAGATCAAGAGTGGGTGTTTCAAAGTACACCCATGCTTTACTGTTATCAACCCATGTCCAATCTGAATGAAAAGGAGGATGCCAAAGATGACCTATTCAAGCTCACTGTATTGTACAATTCCATGGGGTTGTAATAAGGAATTTATTTTATTCATAAAATTGACCATGATGATATACTATTTTCTTTATTGTTAGCATCTCAGCAACAGATTACATTTCTACTGGTAATATTGCAATTATTTATTACTCTGCATAATATATAGAGGGCGCTCTGAACTTCTGAGGAGACTTAATAACGTTGTACCGAGAGCAAACACAGCCGATGGATTGCACAAGGCTTTTCTGAGAGTGTGGTTCAAGGTGCCAATGGCGTTCATCAATCGTCTGGTCCACTCCATGTACAGACGCTGCGCTGCTGTTATTGACACTCGCAGCGGACACACCAGATACTGGTAGAAGCGGACGTAAAATACAACTAACTCACACACATTATGGTACATGATTCGTGTACCAATGGTAAAATGTTTATTGTCACCCGCCTTTCGAAGAAAGCAGGGGACTACTAAAATGGGTTCGTCCGTCTGTCTGTCCGACTTTTTGGGACACAATAACTCTCCTAATTGAGCTAGAATATTTAAACTGGGTGTAGGTGTTTATTAGGTCAATGTCTTGATGGAGTTCAAGGATGAGCATTTTCTGCCTAGGGTAAGCAGAGATAAGCAATTTGATTAGTTGATACTGCTTTGGGGAATGATGACTTTAGTTCAAATTAAATGAAAGTGATGAAACTTGGTATATAGTTTTATTACATAAATACCTTGACTAAGTTCAATAAGAGCATTTTCTGCTCAGGGTAAGCAGACCTATAAGCAGTTTGATTGGTGTTTACTGCTAGGTGAATGCCTTGATGGAGTTCGAAGATGGGAATTTTCTGCTTAGGGTAAGCAGAGATAAGCAATTTGATTGGTTGATGCTTTGGGACACGATAACATTAGTTCTAATTAAGTGAGGACACTTGGTGCATAGTTTATTACATGAATACCTTGACAAGTTCGATAATGAACATTTTCTGCTCAGGGTAAGCAGAGCGATAAGCAATTTGATTGGTCGAGATATTGGAACACAATAACTTGGTGCAGGCGTTCATTAGGTGAATGCCTTGGTGAAGTTCGATGATGAACATTGTCAGCTTATGGTAAGCAGAGATAAACAATCTGATTGGTTGATGCTTTGGGGCACAATAACTTTGGTTATAATTAAGTGAGAGTGATGAAACTCTGAGTATAGATTCATTATATCATTACCAGGACTAAGTTCGATGATGAGAATTTTCTTCTTAGGCTAAGGAGCGATAAGCAATTTGATTGGTCAAAACTTTGGGACATAACAACTCTGCTTTTAATTGAGGTAGAATGTTTTTATACGCCCACATTTTCATGCAGACGTATATTGTCGTCGCCCCTGTCCGCCCACTATTGTTTGTGGACAATCTACAGGTCACAATTCTTATCTGATTTTGACGAAACTTGAAATATAGTTTTATCTCCAAAAGATCTCGGTTGCTTTCGATATTGGCATGTATCGGATCGAAACTTTATGGATTGTGGTCCTTGATTGTACGAAAAATCACGTTTTTAACTTGTGGATCCTATAGAGGTCACAATTTTATTTTAAACCGATTTTGATGAAACTTGAAAGGCATGTTTATAATCCAAAGTTCCTGGTTCCTTTCGATATTTGTGCATAACTTCCTGAATATTATGGCCCCTGATTGTACAAAAAATCGCCTTTTTTAGCTTGTGGTCCCTTTGGAGGTCACAATTATTATCCAAACTAAAAAAAACGTTTGATTAAACATGTATCACCGTTACACTGTAATGAAGGTTGAGTTCGATTTTCGTGAAAATCGGACAAAAATTGCCAGACAAAATGGCCGCCGCTTGTACGCAAATAGTGTAAAAATATGGTATATCATTATCAAGGTTGTGGACCCTCTAGAGACCACAGTTTTTATCCAATTTGGATGAAACTTTGAATATATGTTTTTATCATAACTTCCTGGATTATGGCCCCTGGTTGGTCGAAAAATCAAATTTTTAGCTTGTGGATTCTCTAGAGGTCACAATTTTATTTCCGATTTTAAAAAACGTTTAGATATATCACCATTCCACCATATTAATGAAGGTTGAATTGGAATTTCGGGAAAATCGAAATGAAACTGTCCGACAAGATGGCCGCTCTTTGTACGCAAATTATGTAATACAAAGGTTATGGACCCTCTAGAGGTCACAATTTTTATCCAATTTTGATGAAACTTAGAAGATATCTTTATATTCCAAAAATCTCAGTCCCTTTTGATATTTGCGCATTTCAGCCCACCGCCACTAAATCATCCAAGCAGTCCACAAGGGTTGTCACATATTTATTCTTATGTAGATAATTTAATTAGGGGAATTTAATAGACAATTTCAAACAGATGACATTATAATTTTCGTCGTTTGAGGGTTCACAAGGTTCTAAAAACTAAAACAAGGGCCGTAACTCTGGAAGTAATCTACAGAAATTGTTTAAATTCGACAGGCTTTTTCGTTTTACTAATTCAAATAATGCATATAAATTTCATACAGATCAGATGATAACTGTTGTCATTAGAGCGTTCACAAGATTCAACAAAGTGAAACAAGGGCCATAACTCTAGACGTAATAAACGGAAATTGCTGAAATTTAATAGGCTTCTTTGTTTCACTAATTTAAAGCATGCATATAAATTTCACAAAGATTGGGTGATAACTTTTGGTGTTAGGGCATTCACAAGGTTCAATAAAGTGAAACAAGGGCCATAACTCCAGAAGAAATAAACAAAAATTCAATAGGCTTCTTCATTTCACTGATTTAAATGATGCATATCAATTTCATACAGATCGGTTAATAACTTGTCATTAGAGCGTTCACAAAGTTCAATAAAGTGAAACAAGGGCCATAACTCTAAGACATAATAAACAGAAATTGCTGAAATTAAATAAGCTTCTTTGTTTCACTAATTTAAATCATGCATATAAATTTCACAAAGATTGGGTGATAACTTTAGACATAATAAACGGAAATTATTGAAATTAAATAGGATTCTTCATCTCACTAATGTAATATCAATTTTAAAAAAATTGGTTGATAACTTTTGGCGTTAGAGCGTTCACAAGAAATTGTGGATGATGGATGGACGGACGGACGGCAATATACGTCCACATTTCAATGTGGGCGTATAAAAAATTGTTTTTGTTTTTTGTTTGTTCTCTATCTCTTGCAAAATGTGGGCGTATCCTGCCATAATGTCCGTCAGTTTTTGTACGATTTTCACGAAATTTGAACTTAACCATCATAGTGTATAAGTGTGATATATTCACATGTTTTTTTAAATCGGATAAAAATTGTGACATCAAAACGCAATTTTTCATACAATCAAGGGCCATAATTCAGGAAGTTACGATTCTATATGAGCGAATATTGAAATGAACCAAGATCTTTGGGTTATAAAAATGCTTTTCAAGTTTCATCAAAATCGGATCAAAATTGTGACCTCTAGGGGATCCACAACCTTGATATACCATATTTTTACACTATTTGCTTACATGGGAGTGATGGGACGGCCATTATGTCAGTCAGTTTTTGTAATTTCAAAATATTTTTGGGAACAGTATTTGGGGGCGATATTTCAAATCTAAGCATCGGAACATTAGCTATTTGGTGGATTAATTTCAAAGTTGTTAAATACTTTCAAAATTCGACAACAATTTACAGCATAGATAAGTCGTTTGATTCACAAATATCATACGTTTGTGAAAATTCTTAATACCATAAAACTATGAAATTTAAGCAATTTAGCTTATCGATACACATTATTTCCATTGAAGCCTGCGAGTAAATCAAATGCCAAAGTCACGAATCAAATGCCAAGTTCAAGACCAACCCACCGATACATTTCTAAACGAATAATACGCAATAAACTCATTTATTTCACATCTCTATGACTGTCTGACCATGTGCAAACATTGCTACAACGTATGAAACTCTGCCCATTGATATTGTAACTGCCAGTCAACAGTTTTCAGTTTCGCAGAGTATTAGCTTATACCCTAAGGGACCACATCGGAAATGTGCACTGCGCCGGCACAGACAATTTTAACTGAAATCTATTAAAATTGCATTTGAAGTTACAATCAATCTTCGTGAAACATTTAAATTTTCATTTTGATTTTAGTTAAAATCTATTTTAGGTATTTTACCTTAAGGTCGCGATTAATTAATTGTTTGCTTCTCATGACTTGTGTTTGTGAAATATACATGAGGTAATAATTAATTATTGAGATGGAATTTAAAATTTTTGAGTTTAATGCTGTTTCTATTTCAGCAATAAACTAATGTCGGTTACTTGGTCATTGAAAACCAAACGGTAATTGGCTTTTGCGATTTATTTACATTTAATAAAATTTTTATAGATTAAAATATATGTTGCACAATAGTCGGGCATCGGAAGACTTGATCATAATACATGTAATAGGTCTAATTTATTAGTAATACGCTTCTAAATCTAAGTTAACTGTTCGTTAATTCATTCATTCTTGGTATTTCATTTCTTTCCCCTACATGTACTTTGACAGGTTACAAAATGACCCCTATTCCAATCAGGTTGATTATATGTTCTGACATAAATATTAAAATGCATACCTTTGGATTTTTGAATACAACATAAGTTAGATTATTTAACATGTCAGTCCAAAGAATTTAGTACATACACACGTGTTTGTTTCTCTAACCGTGAAGGAAGATAGTACCAATAACCCGTATGTTAATTGTATTCAACTTTGACCAAATCAGCAAATGGCATCATGATAAATACTTTTATAATTTTGTCTATTTTCATCAAAGTATTCACATTTATTAGTATCTCTGTATCCTTTTGAGAATGTGTTTATAGAGTGTCGTGGTTAATAAAATACCGTGAAGTAGTGTCAATTAGTCGGTAAGCTTACCTCATGATCGAGACTATCTCATGGCAGAAGTTTTGGAACTGTTGGTCACAGAGTGCTAGTCACGTAAATAAAATATTTTAGCACTAATTTAAAGACATTTATATCTTTCCGAGAATTTTATGAAGTATGTATGTCGTCTTTGGTGAAAGAAAATGCTGCAGAATGACAGATATGATACGCCTTTTTTAACTTCCGGTTGCACATATGGACTTCGTATATTTTTTCACATTCTAGCCTACTAGACTTTACTTATCACCTACAGTGTAATTTTTATCGATAAATAGTGATTTTAATGCGTCAATTCATTGTTAATATTTGAAGGCAAACAAATATAGTCTTACAAATTTTACAGGACGAATTTGTGACCTCCCTAAATTTTACCAAATAATTATGGAAGTGCGTAATTATTACGGACGAAAACCAACATGCGGACAGGTCATGAGAAACAAACAATTATTTAACCGTGGCCTAAGTTTTTGTTAAACAGGACCCAGATGACAAAACCCAGCCTTGTGTTTGGATTAGCTAGGAATATTTTATCGCAGTCATTGATTCTATCAATTCACTACATTTGCTGATGTCAGCTGCCATCCAAACATATTTTGCATGATATTTTAATGTGTATTCCATTCTAGCAAGTAGGTCTTGATAATCGCCTGATGCATTGGTGAACGATAACAGCACTAGTACTCACCCTGGTCTGTTTTTGTGGCAGGCTTCCAATTTTCTGTACTAATAATTGGTAAACATACTTGTCCTTTTTCATCAATATTAGGATGATAAATCTTAGTTCTGAAAGTCACCTTTGGAGGTTTAAAAGGATACTCTGCAGGAAAATTGATCTCTATTCTAAATGCTCCTTTATTATAGGGTGGTCGATCCTAAAACAAAAAAAAAATCTTGTTGAATATTTCCATAATTAAAAAGAGGTTAAGAGAATACTGTTTGAAAAATGTAACCCAAATAAAATAATAATTGTTCTTTGATAAGTATTTTTATAGTTTATTGCTTTATCCAATTACTAAATGCCTAGCTGATAAATTAAAAAGACATTGTTCTGGAAGAAAATAAGATAACATTTCTCACAGATAGTAAAAAGAACCACAGATATGGAATGATATAGAATGGCCATTTGAGATTTAGAAATGTGTACTTGACTGTTTAAGGTAATATTTGTACTAAGTGTGTCATATTCATTTTCATGCAGATATGTTTATATCATATTTTCTGTCTCATCCTTTATGCATCAATAAGAAACCCCCAAAATCAAACAAATAAGTATATTTTTATTTACGACATGACAAACTTGACTGCTACATTGATTTTTTGTCCCTTGACTGTGCAAAGAGCAATAACCCATTGATCTAATTCTAATAATACTGTGCTGAGTTTGGGGGTTTAAAATAGGCCTACATGCACCAATAGAGTACAAAGTATTAATTTTACTCACTGGAACAATTAAGCCTTGCCAATTTAATATATTGGAGTCATCTACTTTAATTTCTTGAAAGCACCTAAAATCTGACATACGCAAGTCAGTAAGTTCCTGAAAAACATTGAAATTAGAATAATTAGTTAGCAATACCACACATCCCTACAGACAATATTTAAGCTTGTTTCATAAGCATTTATTTGTATACATGTATGTGAAGTGAAGAGATACATACATGCATAACATCTTTGAAACACATGGTATGGGCTATAATTTACATGTACAGTGTAGAATGTGAGCATGTCAATCTTAAAGAGAAAATAGCGTTTTGATGTCTTCATCAGTTTTTGATTTAAAATAGAGTTACCTATACATCTAATTAAGACATGTAAGCTTATGCCTCTAGATAAGTTGAAATACACATGATGGTAAAGATAACTATTAAATTATTAAAAGATTACAAAAAAATAACAAAATCGCACTGCTTTCACTGTCACAAAAACTAAATCAGGATCACACATCACCCCATTCTTGAACAAATTACATTGGCTCCGTGTTAAGAGAAAGGATCAACTTTTTATTGTTAACCAATCGATAGATAAACAAATCCGCGCCAGGTTACCTTCAAAATCTAATATCACTGTATCAACCTTAACGATCATTAAGATCAGAAGGGAAACTATTATTTGAAATCATTTGGATCCAGAACTTTTCGATACAGCGCATCAATTGTTTGGAATACACTTTGGCCATCAGGTTTTTTGGGTATGAGAAATTCAAAATGGCCGCTATAAAACACGTTCTCGTCCATAAAATTTATGGAAGTGCACCGATTTCAATGATCTTTATGTCAATACCCATGTCAATACACGATAGTGTTGTAAAAATATTCAGTAAACGTCTGAACTTTCTTCATAAATCCAATATATTCAGTGAAAATACATTTAACAAGTTATCATTATATTATTCAGAAACAAGTGATGGCCATTTAGTCAGTCAAAAAGACTTAAACCGCTCCTCGGGCATGTGCTACAGTTACATCTGTTCAACTGACAGCAGCTAAATCGTCCGAAAGGTCAAAGAGATGTTGCATATTTTTACTATATTGGGTAATGAAACATTTATAATACACGAAAATCTGATTAAGAGTAACAACTCATTAAGTACATGTAATTATCAGAAAATCATTAGAATTTGTTTGGTTTTTATAAATTTCATTGAAAATCAATATACATTTATTTGTTCGTCTCAAGACCTTAAACTCTGTGTATCAATCGGATGATAACTTTAGCCCCTAGAGCGTCACAAGATTTTTCAAAGTGATCATGGGCCATAACTTTGGCAGTAACTTAATTATCGGAAATCATTGAAAATCAATAGGATCCTTCGCCTCATGACCTCAACCACTGCGTATAAATTTAAAGTCAATCGGAGAGCATCCACAAGATATTTTGAAGTGATCAAGGGCAATTGTGGACGCCGGACCGACGGGGGCAACGACAATATACGACCACATTTCAATGTGGGCGTATAAAAAGTGAAAAATCTATGTTAAAGGGAGTGAAAATAAACACGATAGGCGTAGTTTTGAGAATCTGTGTCTTATTTCCAAAATGAATACATTTCTGGATAGCCAGGATCAGGGTCAAATTTTTGTTATCTAAAAATTCTAAATTTTGAATTTTGACTTTTTATGTGCCGAGAAAGTTGTTTACAATTTTTCGATATTTTACAAATATTTTTGATTTCTTTCCAGACTTTTCCATTTCATTTTCTGAATCACCCCATTTTTCAACAGCTTGATCCATTTTTCTGAAACTTCTGGAACGGGAAAAAATGATATGTCCATTATGCATCATTATGTTGTAGTATGGGGTAGTATGTGTTGATATAGAGGTGGTATTGGGTAGTATTGGGTAAACCATCCCGCCGGTATAAAACCTTATCCGTTGAATATTATAAGTATAGGGCCAGGAGTCGAAATAATGCTTGTCTACTTGTCGAATCCAAGTAACATTTTCAAATGACAAGAAGAAATAAAAGAATAATGTCTATAACAGTTCTGGCTAAAAATGTCCCTTTGCCTCCATAGTAGCGTGGTGGCGAATATCTCCCTGATTAACAAGACTGAAATCTATATGGTCATTTTAAGTTCATTCTATACATCTGGAAAAGGTTTCTTGGCATTAAAATAGTAACATTACTGATTCTGTGAAATCTGTAATGTTATTGGCCATTCGTTCTTAATCACCACAGTCAATATTACATAACTCCATGACAACCAGGGCTCAGGCTGTCAGTCGCCAAATTGGCGATTTGCAATAAAAAAAATGGAAGTGGTGATTAAAATTTGATTTTGCCGATAATGTTTTGGGGTAATTGGCGGTAAACAATCTTAAAATTCTTATAGTATAGGAGCTTTTACGCTTGACGTATTTCCGGTGTCCATTTTTAGCCTGGCCTTTTTCAACATGGGTTTTATCCTCTTTATACAAAAAGTATTCTTGAATGCCACCCTTGTTGTAAGTTGCGTGTAGCATTCGTAATAAATTACCAATTTCAAATCGTGTCTAAATTATTTTTGTTTCGTTTTATTGACGATATACTGCGTTGTAGCAGACAATATTCAAGCTCGCACAGTCCAATCGACCGCTGTATGTAAAGCATAAACCAAGATACATTACTGTATTAAGCAGAGTTATATGTTTTGTGTTAATTTTACTGCAAACAATAGATAACATCTGTTTGGTTGTAAAATGCCACGAAATAGAGCATTTAAGAGTAAATAATAGAATGGGTTAGAGAGGTGACGCTGCGGTTCCACGAAATAATTATTCAAGGCCATATTAAAATTTAAGCACGACCATAGCACATCTAAAAAATAAAAGAGAACAAATAATAATCACGCTGTAAAAATTAATTCTGTATAGAATGTACCAAGTCCAGTTATATATTTTCATTCAACAGTTGTTCTCTGAACCAAATACTGAATTAGAAATTAATAAAATGGACACAAATGTATCGTTCTTCTTCTTGGTTGCGGCAAGATAAACTGTTTGGATTAAAATTTCACTGAGTGCCAAAAGCTGAGCCAAGACGATTTATGTGGTTACAATTAACAGAAAAAAACGGTTTTAAAAAATATTCACAGATTCAACTTGATCGTCGTTTTATTCTTTTTGTTATTCATATCCCATCAAGAGGAAAATTTATAAAAATGGCTGAAGTACCCTGTGCACCAAAAAACTATTTTATCATTGGTTAGAGCGGTCTAAACGCAGGGAAATTTACAATAGCTATTGGCTAACAGTACGCATTAACAATCTTATTTGCATATTGCATATTATTTATAGTATTATTAGCTGGATTTTCAAGTCGACGGCATCAAAGACCAACATAGTACCGTGTTTTGTGTCGAGTAGGGTAGCGTGCAGTGCTATAGCAGACGATACATCAACCTTGCAACGAATTGTCCAGTCGGCAGTTGAATGTAAATAGGATAGACCATTTAAATCTTTTGTGTTAATAGTCCCGTAATTAATATATAACTTCTGTTTGATCGTAAAATGCGTAATAAACTTGACTTAATTCTAATTCGGGCCATGAGCATGGATCAGTCATCCACTTGTTTCCTAAATTGCAAACGGCCAATTACGGGTCTGGTAAACTTGACATATCTTTCCTATATCGAAGTTTTTGTAATATCGCTTTCTGACATCGGTCGGTAAACCTTACACGTATATAGAAATGGCATTCAGTTCCATTTTATGTAAAAGAAACTTACTGTAAGACGGTATTTTCACAAAAAAACACACAGTGGCCTATGGGTTTCAGTCTAAGAATAAGGCCAGTGTCTGCGCATGATGTCAAAAGGGAAACCCGTAAAAGCTCCTATATACGTATATATACCCTTAATTGACCATTACCTTGCAATTTGAATGTCAATCACAACCAAGTGAAGAACAGGCGGCATACATCAACTACTAACTAAGTAATTAACTTAGTAATTAACTTAGGGGTGATGATTTTCCGTGATCGCGGAAAAAACGCGGAAATCGCGGAATTGTCCACTCAAAACGAAATTTGAAATCTCACACGGAAAAACCGATATTTGCTGATACTAAACACAAACTCAAAACAATTTTGCAGTTATCCAAGTATTTCATCTTTTTATTCATAAAAATCGGAAATATTGAATGATATCGCGTGGTTTTGTTACTGTCTATTTTAGTATTTAGCTTCTTTCATTCATTCATTTAGGAATCATAATTTTACTCGAAACGAAAACCCATCTTTCATATCCCTGTATACAATTACTCTGTAGTTAAACTTGAATTAAACATTGTAATGTATATATATGTCTTAAAAAAAACTTTTGTCACTTCATAAAAGTAAAAATCGTTTCATTTACTTCTTATTTTACTGCCGGGCTCGTGACTCGTGTTTATCCACCTTTACCACATGACATCACAAATATGCAGTAGCCTTGTGAATCCAGCCCTTATTCTCGAAGAAACGGTAGTAACTACGAAGATGTCTGGGTAAATCGCGACTACAACTAGCAGCTGAGAAAAATGGCTTCGTCTGCTAAAAGATGGAATGAGCTCACAAGATGTAATTTTCTGTTATTTAATTCGGGAAACAGGTTAAAAGAATAACCAGTCATTGAACATTACAAGTCATTCACAATTCAACATTTGTTATCATTGGTTTAAAATGATCCGTTTTGTAATAAAAGGGATTTTAAGATGTTTTATTCATTTATTCATAAAATAACATTTTATCTCGAAAAACAAAATATGGTCAGCTCTGAAACGAAAAATAACGGAATTCAAAATACTTAAAACGGAATTTGCTATTTTCTGAAACGGAAAATCATCACCCCTATTAACTAGCTGATAATTTGGATCGTGTCATTGAGTAATACTGATCATTTGTCTTCGAGTTGATTGATAATTGCCAATGATATACTCTTAGTCTTAGCTACATATAAACATATTCAAATACTAGAACAGGTAGAGGACAACTACTAGTCCCTAGCATAAATTTAATTCAAATGATCATGGTGGATTATTAAGAAGTGAATACATGTATGGATTCAAAAAATAAAGTAGTAGAATATTAAACATTTCTTGTCAAGTAAAGAACATTTTCGCTTTTCAGTTGCTATTCCGAAACTGAAATAAAGTAGTAGAATATTAAACATTTCTTGTCAAGTAAAGAACATTTTCCCTTTTCAGTTGCTATTCCGAAACTGAAAATAAATCGATAAAAAAAATAAGTACCGGTACCAATAATAATTGCCTTACCCTTACTATCATTAGGCCTAACGGCGCCACCAGGCATTTCCGTAACACAAAATAAATACAAAAAATGTCCTTATTACATATAAATATTATCATTAATTTTTTTTGTCTCAATATATTAATATAGCATGAGATGAATTAGGAAGTAGAAAGATGTGTCAATTGCGTCACACAACAAAGGCGTTTCTATGCCATTTTTATCAGCGATTCTTGGCAAGTCGATGATCTTGTTAATTGATCCACTTGTTGTGCAATTCATTTATTCAGTATGAATGTTTCTGTACATTTCTTTACGAAATTGCGAAGAGCTGAATATAAATGGAAGATACACTGTTTATCATACATTTCCAAAGAGTTAAAATAACCATTCGAACTTAAAATTGTTTACCTTTTGAAGCCGCCTGGTCGCTGCCATCTTGAAAATTAACACGCTTAAAGTGACATCTGTTGGCGGATATTTTTATGAAAGATGGAGACATAAGGGAGCTTACTCCTCGTGGATTTCCATGGAATAAATTAAAGAATGCCATAAATTTTAGTTATTGTTTAAAAAATAAGTAAGTGAGGGAACGATACTTTTACGGATATACTAATTATTTACACGACTTTTATTTTTTTGTTTTTTGTGTGTGTGTGTCAATTGCGCCCGAATTAGTGCAAAACGTACCGACATTTCTACGCCTAAAATTATGGACAGGCTAATTATAATTAATTATAACTTATATAAGAAAGAGGAAAATGAAATGAAATGAAATGGGGTTTAACGTACTACTGTTCTGCTCCTATGCTGGGCTAATGAAGACGGGCATACGCCATACAGTGTGCTATGAGGGTAATTTTTAAGAGAGAGGACCTAGAGAGAGAGAGGATAAGTGATATAGATGGATTGTTACGTAGCTCCGATAAATACAAAAATTCTCAGATCAATTAAATGGATATGCGGGAGATGTCTGAACCAACCATCTTTTCTCACTAAAGTGAGCATACAAACACATATAGCTATACGAGAACGTAGCTAAAACAGTTGAGATTAAACTTGGAACTATAGTGCCTTTAGTTCCTATTAGTTCCTAGTCTCGGTCACCCTGAACCCCCTAGTCTTCAACGTACGGAGGAATATTCGTAGAATATTTGTCTGGATGATAGAGACTATTTAGTTCCAAGTGGCAAACTCAATTTCTTTATTAATAGATGTAACATCTTAAAAATAAGATAATTTATTCTGTTATGACTAATTAAACTTACACAGGCCAATGTAGTGGCACAACTATCACCTAACACCAAATATTCGCGTTTAAATTAATGAAGCCTTGTTTTTTTTCTGACATACACCGAGGGGCGAATTGGGCCATCGGGCGATCGCCCGAAGGGCCGGTCGGACAAAAAAATGAAAAAAATAATTTTGTCCAATTCGTCTAAAAAACAATTTCTGCTGAACATTATATGGGGGGTGCGGGTATTGGACCGGTCATGGAGCGATGATGATCATGTTGTATGTGGCCGGTGGCTTTAACGGCCCGCCACGCCGTCACTCGAGTCTGGAATGGGCTGGTATAATAGACTTTCTGGGCCGGGTGTGGGTCGGAATTTGGAATCCTGCAATGGGGATTCCGAATTTCATCCGAAAATTTCATCGGATTCACCCAGCACTTTCGCGGTAGCTATATTTTGCGTCCAAGATCAAATTTTATTTTTATTTCCGCCCGCCGCTCCTGACAAAAATGTCGAGGGTAACGCAATTCTCATAATTAAATTTGTGTAGCCTTATACTCGAATATTCATTATCTGAACTAATGCTATGTTCATTAATCAATATGTAGTGTGTCAAATGTTCAAGTTCGGAGTCAAGGTAAAATAATTAACCTGGAACAACAAATCCAAAATTCAAAAAGCAGCTTTCATGAATTTTACTTTCGTCACTCTGTACCAATGTGTCTCATGGCCTTCCATCACAGGAGGAATCAACTAGCGCTCCCGGCAACGAAAATGAGACATTTTTCAATGAAAATATTCCTACTTATTCAATATTAATAACTGGTTAATCAAATGGTCAACATTTTCTCAACTAGTCCCATTTTTTAACCAGTTAAAGGACAATATTGGTGTCAGTCATTATAAAATATGTGATAGAACTGGTTAAATACATCCCAAATATAACTTTAACACAGAGATCATTGCTACGGGAGATGTGTAACAAGCACGTGAAGAAACGGAAAGTGACGACAAACATGACAAACACGAGTTATCCTACGATATAACTGATTGAAGCAACGAGCGATAACAGACACGCGATCGAATTTCATTTCACTGATAATTCAGTTGAAGATGAAAAGCTATTATATGAGACGGTGAGAGGATATCTGACAATTCCAAAAAAAAAACTGGCTGTCATTAGATAAAAGATAACGAACAAATTAGAAAAAGTCCGTGCATTACCATGTTTTTATTAAGAACAGAATGAATAAAAACAGGGGAATGCACGGGATTTTTCTATGTTTCTCGTTTTCCCTTATCTAGTGACAGCCAATTCTATTTTTGAATTGTGAGATACCCTCTCACCGTCCCATATACAATGTAATAACTTTTCAACTTCAACGGAATTATCAGTGAAATGAAATTCGATCGTTTGTCTGTTATCGCTCGTTACATCAGTCAGATACATAATGGATAACTCGTGTTTGTCATGTTTGGCGTCACTTCCCGTTTCTTCACGTGCTTGTTACACGTACATCTCCTGTAGCAATGATCTCTGTGTTAATATTATATTTGGAATGTATTTAACCAGTTCTATCACATATGTAATTATGACTGACACCAATATTGTCCTTTAAATTCTCTTGACTCTTTACTCTTGACGATACAAGGATAATACGTTAATTAATAATATGACGATATGATAATTTCACAGGTTGATGGTTGTAAATTACTTGCAGGTTGGGGTTTTGGCCTAAATTAATCGATTTATGAGATATATTATTTGACAGAGATTATAATCAGATATGCCACCAAATCGCATATTATTTGGGGTTCATTTTTCAAATTTTTCCAGGGGGAGAGCCGCTGGACCCCCCGTCCGGGCTCCGCGGTCTTATAATATAGGGGCCGCTCCGACACGGGAGCCCGGGCCGGTTCCCGGCCCCAATCCGCCCCTGCCATAGACTTACGTACATCTCCCGTTTAAAAATGGCGTTCCTAGTTACGGCTTAACGCCTTGATTTTAAATACGATGATTTATACCCGTTTCAGGTAGGATTTTATGCTTAATTGTAGCTGGATGTGCTAGAAAAATTATAAATAACAATAGTCAATCGTTGTTTTAATGAAAAATAATATTGTCAAGTTAGCTTACTGAGGTCGATGTGATTTGCACTGGGCTTACGTGGAACTATATAGCACCATCTCTTATCTCGAAACACGGGGGGTTGAGAGATGAGGTTTGTTATCTAACAAACACAGAGTAGCGTAAGATTCAGATGAGTCCACGGGGGCGGTGGTTATAAATGAAACGCCCGAACCCACAGCCCCCGAAAATTTTTAAGCTACGAAAGATAGTTTGGATGTTATTATCTTTGCAGTGAACCTCTTGTCAATTTTATACGCACGCTTTACAGTGTGGGTATATCATGTCGTCACGTAGACTTAGAGATACATTATGTAAGATTTAGATAAAGGGCTAGTCATTCTTGCTAGGCTATAATAGTTCAAAAATAGATAATGTAAAATGATTAATTTGAAAATTTCATTCAAATTACTCTATTGCGAGCGAAGATATTAGCCTTTGAAGGTTTGACAAGATGTGTGCTATAATTTCAACCACCGCACTGGTTGTTCGAAGCTAAGTCTGGCAGATCCATTTTTAGCTTAAATCAAAATATGGCTGAACTGTTCTAATCTATTTAATATCGGATGAAATCCGATGCCATCAGGGGTTGATTATGGTCTGGATAAGTTAATTAACGTCTAATTAATAATTTAGATAACATTTCAGGCCTAAAGAAAGACCTGCAATAGGCAGATTTAGCTCTTGCATAATGTGTGTTTAATAACCCGGTCTCCGGCTCTAATTAGCCAGTTTGGGGCTTTAAAAGTAGCTAGTTTATCTGATGTACGTAATGTTCAGCCAGGTGTATACATTTCTAATAGATCTGAGAGGTAAACAGGAGATAAATTATTTAAACATTTAAAAGTAAGTAATAAAATCTTAAAATCAATTCGATATTTAACAGCTAACCAGTGTAAATTATGTAAAACAGGAGTTATTTGGTCGCATTTCGTAGTTAAAGTAACAAGTCTAACTGCAGTATTCTGTACTTTTTGTAATTGCTTTAAAGGTAAACCAACTAAAAGTGAATTAAAGTTATCTATTCGAGAAGTGACTAGAGAATGAACAAGTGACTTAGTGGCCTCTACAGTTACAAATTTACGTATTTTACCTATATTTCTGATATTTATAAAATAGCACAATTTACAAATATTATTTACTTGAGCTCCCATAAGCATAAAACTATCAAAGGTTGCGCCAATATTACGAGAATCATAAGATGGAAATATACTCTTCAAAAAAAGTAAGGGATATTGAAATGCAAATACCTATGCCTATGCAAGTTGCGATATGATAAATAATCATGGACATTTGACATGCTTTGAGAGTATGTTCACAGATGAAGAACTTGTCAAATTTGACACTTCAAAGAAGAGTTGATGAAAACTGCCGCGTGCTGGTTTATCTATCCATGTTTGCTTTCCTATCGGTTCTTGCATAAGATTTACTGTTTAGCGTATCTTTGCTTTAGTGTGTTACGTTTAATTTGATCGGGAGGCGTGTTCGTCGACGTCAACGTCAACGTCAACCGACAACACTGCAAGAATTGGCCGTGGCACTGCAAGAGGAGTGGGTCAGATTGCCCCAAATCGTGATTGGACGGTTGATTAGGTGCATGCCACGACGAATTGATGAATGGCTGAGGATTGGTGGAGCAATTACTCATTATTAAGACAAAAATCAAAAACGTCCATTTTCACTTTTGAAGGTGTATCTCTTTTCGAGTGAAATGGGCCGTCAGATAAGCCGCCCATATGAACTGTTTATGTTTATGTGTAGGCAATTGGCCTGTTATTAACATTCACTGGTTACCTCTAATAAAAACAGCAGAGAGAGAGAGAGAGAGAGGGAGAGAGAGATGGGGTTTAACGTCTATTCGACACAAACTATAATGTAGGTCATTTCGGGACTAACATATGGTTTAATTTTATTTCAATAATTCGCTTGCGCGTAGGGGTCTTTAGCAGTGGGAGGAAACCGGAGGACCCGGAGAAAACCCACGAGGTTGGACAGGCGACCCTATTCCTTGTCACGTACAACCGGGGATTCGAAACCACGCCAGTTGACTCAATGACAGACTTTATTATACAGCGCGCGCGTGCTAACCATTCAGCCCCCCCCCCCTAAAAACAGCAGTGCATTTCCACAGTTTTGTATTGTTTCTGAATATCCCCTACTTATTTTGAAGAGTATATATCAC